CTATAGGAAGACACTGAAACAATTTATAACCATATTAATTCAATAATATATTGATAGTATAATACTTTGTAACACAATTAAAGTATGTAAATTTAAAAATAAAATAAAATTGGTCTTACCAAGTAACCATATTTAAAACAATATGGTCTAATAGTACATACAAAACGGGAATGATCTAAATGCTCCTGCGTAGCAGCTCCTGCATGGTAAAATTTAAGTAATATTAGTATAGAGAAATTTTAAAAATTTTAGTGAATTTTAACAAGTAATATTAGGTTAAATTTTAAGATTAATCATATTACTAATGAGTAGTGTTTTTCAAAAGATTTACCTGTAATTATCTAATGACGATATAAAAACTTGGAATATTATTGCATGGAACTCTATTTAAGCAATAAATAATTAACAAACTATATATGATAAATGATAAGTAATTTTATATACATGTATATAAATTTCCTTAATTATTTAAGATAATAAGTGTTTTTATATTGTCGACATTTATCTTTTACGTTCTGTAATATAAAACCTTTTAAAGTATGAATGACAACTAAATTTTTGTTCCTTATTAAACAAAAAATATGAGCTTTGTTTTAAAAAAATGAGTTTCAAGTTTGAAAAATTGATCGATATTTTTTCCAATCACAAAATTTCTACCTTATTTTTTTAGGTTTTTAAAAACTATTTCAAGTTTCAAATACTCTCGTTTAACTTCTTCTTTTTTCAAATATCATTTTTCACGTTATCTTATAGAACTTTTACCTTTGGATTTAGATCTCTCAGAAGTCTTCTCAACTTTTTGTGCTTTTTGTTGTTCTTCTATCTCACATTGATTAGATAAATCAAACTTGAGAACTTCAAATTTCATATCTCCTTCATGTTTGAACACCAAGGTATCTCCCTCCTCCAAATTATTTTGCTCTGCAAACATTTCAAGACCGTCTTCTAGTCTTACACCGTTCAATTTCACTAGCCATTCTCTATCTGCAATTACGTAATCATATAGAGGGAAGGATAGTTAGTTATAAGAAAAATTATACATAGATAAAAAAAATTACTTGTTAGTCTTACATACTTCCTCGGTTTCCTTTTACTTACTCACTATTGTAAAACTTATTTTTTCTTTTTACTTGTTCATTTTAATAAATTAAGATAGATTTATTATTTAATTTTTATAGTATCAACTTAATCATTAATTGTAAAAAAATGCTATTGAAATACAACATTCACTACCTTATGGTAGTTTAACCATAAAAATAGATCCCCTAATAAGAAATTTCTTAAATGAAGTATAAAGATAAAAATGGACAAGTAAAATAGACAGTAATATATATATATCAAATTATGAATATTCTTTGTAAAATTTCTGATTTCGTTATTACTTACCAGCCCATCTCAGTATTGCATGTTCATACTGATCATGTCCCTTCAGATGCTTCAAAAGTTCATTAGGAAGACTCTGCAAGGTAACAATAATTGCAAAGGAAGTTAAAAAGTTATTGATGGAATTGTTATAACATTTTTAATATCACATGTTTCAAAAGTTTTTATAGATTTTAAATTACTACCTCCTTAGTCCTTTTCCTTTTACTTGTACCGTCACAATTGACACACCTTTTAAGAAAATATTAAATTAAACCTATTTCTTCATTTTGACAATCTATAATTTAACTATTAATACGCAAATATTCAGATGTGTGCATTGAGATTCAAATGTGTTAATCTTAATGAAAATAAATGAGGCATGATACCATTTAGATGCATTTTTGTGTAAATAATTTTTGCCACCACTGTATCCACTATCATCTATCACTACCACTATTATCGTTGCTAGCCACCAGTCACCACCACCAATCATTTCTATCATTACAACCAGCAATAACGGCAAGTTTGCAACTATCATCCCTGTCAACCATTACTAGATCAGTAGCTACCACTCCGACCATCCCCATTGTTAAAGAAATATTCACTGCCTCTTCCACCTCGACCACCAATACTATTAGTCACCACCACTAGTGTGAAAATAGCTACTATCAATCACCTCAATTATCACAACTAGCATTGCCTCCAACTATTACCAACACAACCATCACATATTCTTCAGCCACCACCAACTGCTAACATCAACAAACTTCTCTTCTACAACCACGACCATCACTACGAACTGCTAACATCACGTCAGTCAATACAACACCAACCACCTCCACAATTATAACTATCATCTCCAGCACTATTAATAGTCACTAACACCAACTATTACCACTATCACAAAAAACTATCTATATCATCTCTAGGAAACATAAATGTTCATTTTTAATCAAATAATGATTTTATTTTGTTAATTTTTATTTTATTTTTTCTAGTATTTAATTATTTTTTATTTGAATTGTGCATTTATTATGCTTAGAAATAAATAAATGCACTTCAGATGCTAAAGAACAAATAGTTTTATTCATTCAAGGTTTAGATCTAGAAACAACATCTTAATTATCAAATGTGCATTCATATCAAATGTATATCTTAATTTTAATGAAAACAAATAAGGCCTAAATCAAAGAATAAATAGTATGTATATCCCCTAAAATTAATGGTAGAAGACTAGCTATTATATATAGAAGAAAAATACTCTATAAAAAAAAAAAAAAAACAACTCAAGATTACAATTCCAATCTAGAAGAATAATGTTGTTAGATTTACTACAAGTAAAGAGAACTAAAATCATATCTAACAATCAAAGGATCACAAAATTACATCCCAAGAATGAGTGTTCAAACCCTACCCCCAACAACCCTAAACATTTTAAAGCTTTACTTACAATTCCTTGCTTGAAACTTGACCTGATGGGATGAAAAAAACTTGGTTTCTCTGAAGAGCCTTTCATGGTGGCCATGAAATGTTAATCTTGGGACTGAAATAATAGAACATGTATTAAGAAATGTAGAGAAAGAAGGCGATATATCCTAGGGAAATGAATGCCCTATTTATAGGTGAAAAAACACTTCAAAGTGGGTGCATATCATAAAAATAAAAAATAAAAGGGGTAAATTACATAAAAGAATCTATATTAAGGGTGCAAAATGTAAAATATTTATAATTACTATATTCATTAAATTATAGTATAGATATTTAAAAACATATTTACATGGAAATAGCGTGGGAGAGTTTTGAAAAATGATTTTTCTCTTATTGTCACGGAAATTGTTGTTTTTTTTTTTTTTTTTTGAATATAAGACAAAAATAATATTTTAAATCAACTACACATGAAAAAGTTATGAACCAATCACACCCTAAATGGAGTATTTTATTTACTTTACTTTACTACTATTAATAAGTAGCTAGAAGCACATAGCTCATTATCGACATGCACTTGCAATTAAGTATAATGTTATTAAATTATCGAAAATGTAAATTCAGTTATTTAACTAATTAAATTAGCCAAAACTTGGTCTCCACTTTTATTTTTCTCTCTCCCGCTCTTAAATTTGATTTCTTAAATATTTGTTCTGATGAATTTTTAGAATTAATTGTAGAATTAATGACCATTTTTTCCATCTTCATTTGATTTTGTGTATAATAATGTGGATATATTATTTATACATTCTATATACATAATTATATATTATTTATAGTAAAAATTAAAAAAATCACATAGTCTAAGATTTAAATTACATCCTATCCCTACTAATACATAATTATACATCATATATCTACATCTATACATTATGTATTATAATGCGAATTAATGACCGAGCATTTTGGGTATTTTTTTACACCTTCCTGAGAGAATTAAGTAATTATGTAACTATGAAGCCTATCCAACTTAATCTATTCAAAGTTTAATGTAGTAAAAATTATATAATTTTGTGTGAGTTATAACATATTAGTTTCATTTCCTCCTAGACATTATTTTCGTTGGGGCTGATTTTTTTATGGGTAAATAACATAAATTTTACTAGTTTAGTTTATTTCCCTTCAATTTGCACAACTACGGATCATATCATATTTTTTACTTCGGATACATGTATTTATCACATACAAATACTTGTATTCGAGATACATAGTAATAAGATACATATCATTATATCTAACTAATTAACAAATGCAATTGAAAGTCATAAATTAAGAAGGAAATCACGCTTGCATCAACCTTGTAATATTCTAACGCATCACAATCTAGTAAAAAAATATTAAATAATCAAAATCCTTCCATTTTTTTGCGAGATGAAACAAACTTTACACCTTTTTTTCTCCCTAGTTCTTGTCAATAATTTCAAGCTTTTTTTTTGTTCAACAATGACCAATATCTCTATTTGTGAGACATTCCAAAACGTAAATTTTGTATAATATTTATGCTGGATATAAAATTAAGACGGAGGGAGTAATATCTAGCAACTCCATCAAAATAGTGCACAATTGTCCTAAGTGTCGATTTGGGAGCATTTTTTTGGTTATTTGACCTCAGGGTATTTCAACACCAATCAAGATAAGTTTTTTATACAAATTATATGTTATAAACACTTGTATTAACATAAAATCTTCCACAGAAAATTTAATTTGTTAAATCATGCTAGAGATAGGGTATTTCAACACCAATCAAGATTAGAACTATTTTTACAAAATTAGCATGACACCTAGAAATTTGTTAAATCGTGTTAGAGATATTTGACATTATTATATGGCATTATTTTAGTGACACTCTTAATTTCTAAAATTGGTCACCTAAAGATAAAAATCATTAAAAAAAAATGGACAAGAGAAGTTGCCAAAGCTTTCTAAGGAATTCATGGAAGTTGATAACACTGGATAAAATCATAACATAATTATTAGTACGTACTATTATTTGTTTTGGGGGGGGGGGGGGGAGGGGGGGTTAAAGATGGTGATCGTGCTAGCTTACATCCTACTAGTGCATGTACTAGTAACTCTACCCGACATGGCTTAGACAGATGGGAAGAAACCACCTATTATTTTTTGTTTGTTGTCTCTGTCGAGATTTGAACTTTAGTCTCCAAATTTCACCCACTTCATTGACCGCTAGGCAAGGGTATAGCAATTCAACGAAGTTACGGAGAAAACATAACATGCTTTGTTGAGGTTGTACACCATATAATTGAATCAACCAAAGAGAGATAAATTCTGTTTAATTGCTTCACTGTTGCTTTTTCTTTTCCATCACCAACTGCTTCATTCTTCAATGACGCTTACATTCTCCCAAGAAATTTTGCCTGTAAAAAGTACATTTTTTCATGTTAATAATCAAATCTATGCAAAGAAGCTATTAAAGTGTTTAAAATATTCACTACATTGTTCGAGTAGTGGAAACAGTCATTAATGCTTGCATTGGGGTACATTGTCTACATCACACCCCTTGGGGTCTAACCCTTCACTGGACCCCTGCTAATGTGGGATGTTTTGTGCATCGGGATGCCCTTTTTACCTTGTAAGAACCTCCTAAGACATGAAAAGATTTATCCTCAATGAAACCAAACACATTAGTATGGGATAGAAAGATTTCAACCCAGGGTGATTTTTAACATTTAAGTAAAAATTGCATTATCCAAGATTCATGCCAAATATAGTCAAAGTGTGTGCATATATAAGATGACCAAAAAAATAAAAGATGCTTCTCAAATGAGAAAACTTACCATGAAATTTCCATAGTAGTTTCTCTCCATCTGTAACCACCTCAAACATTATGCGATCTCCCTCCTTTAAGCAATATGCCTCGCGGAACTTATCCCATCCACCTCTAATACACACACTAGTACCAAAAGGACGTAAAATTAAATTCCACGACCTTTGCCGTTCATCTGTAATAATCACATCGCATTTCTTCCTGATGAGACCATTTCTGAGTGCAAATTGTTTTGGAACGCACTGAAAGGGTATATCACCATTTGCACTCATCAGTAGAACAGTTCTTAGGTTGATATTTTAACCAAAATTAACTCCAAAAGAAAGAGAAAAGAATAAAATGATACGCTCGATCACATTAGCCTGAACATTCTTGAAAGATTTGCATGAAATGGGGTTTTAAGCTTACCAAATAACCATATGTAAGGCAATATGGTTTAATAGTGCATACAAAACGAGAATGGTCAGAAGGCTTGTGATTTGCAGCTTCTACATGGGGAAACGCCTTTCTTGATGACATGATGCTGGGAGTTGGTTTGTCTGTTACAAGATAATTGTATACAAAAACTCATGTCAAGACATCAAGTATGACAGAGATTACAATTAAAAGAACGAATAATTTCCAAACTACCCCATCTTTTGGATATTTTTCAAAACCAATAGGGCTCAATCTCCAGAGTAGACCTTTCTTGAAATTTCTTATGGCTTCCAAATATTACCAAGGAAACAAGAACAATGTTATGGAAATAAAGCTTAATGATTTATATTTTAATTTAACTAGTCTAGAAATGTGAAAAGAATTAGCATTACTTGTATTAACTGTGTTGTGCTATCAATGCACACATTAATACAACATACTTAAAGTCACCACCCTCTCTCAACAAAGGAAGAAACGAAGAAAATATGGGGCTAAGCAAATTAGAGAAGAATAATATACTTAGGTAGAGTTTACTAGGAGTTGTAAAAGTGCTCTTACATATGATTATTCAACCCTAGTTCTTTAAGCAACATGTTTGTATAATTACCAAATAAAAAATACTGCCAAGGAAGGTTGAGGAAGAAGTAATAGAAGACCATCTTAATTGACTCAAACACAAACATTCGGAAAAAAAGGCCTACTATTTTTCGAATAGCTGTTTTACTCTTTTAAAGAAAAAGAACTTGTATAGATATATTCTTTAATATCGTTTTAAAGCGCATTAATTTTCTGAACTTTATGAAGTACAACATATGAAAATTTATCCTCATAGAACCTGGGACAGGGTCTTTAGAACAATCAATATATAAACTTGAGTGAACAAATAGAGCAAACTGCCAGTTTACGATGAATTGTAACCTATGAAAGATGAAGCACAATTCTTATAACAAGAAAGATCAACTTCTAAAAAAAAAACTGTAAAAGAAAGGACAACGTTATATGACACTTAAAATACACTATTTAATTATGGAATAGTGTGTATAAATTAGGCAGAATATATTCCACACATAGGAACATTTCACAAAGATCGTTGCATAAAACATTTTCCAACTGTCTGGTTGATTAAATTTTTGAAAATTTAGTTGTTCATAAATTATGTGCAACACATTTTTGAACAACCAAACACAAACAAATTTCATGGTGTATATTACCAAGTAAACAGATCGTTGAGGTCGCACAAATGAGAGGGTTTACCAAGAAATTTCCATATTGGTTTTTTCTCCCTTAGTAACAACCTCAAACATTATATGATCTCCCACCTTAAAGTCATTTGCAACACAGAATTCATGCAATCTACCTCCAATATAGGCTTGAGAACTTTAAGGTAGTCGGCCTTAAATTGCCTTTTTCTTCTATCTCTAATAATCAGACCACATTTTTTGTTGGTGAGATCATTTGCCCGTGCACATTGTACAGGAAGGTGCTGAAATGGCTTTGTAACATTTGCACATATCATCAAACATTTCATTTGCTTCATATTTTCACCATAAATAACTCGAATAAACAAAGAGAGGGAACAGAAAATGGTGCAATGTTTCATTTAGTCTGAATTCTTGATTGGTTTAGGGAGACTGAGTTTGAGACTTACCAAGAAACCATTTGAAAAGCAATACGGTCTAACAATGCATTAAAACTGAAATTGACCAAGCGGTTTGTGAGTAGCAGCTTTCGCATATTATTTCAACAACAACAACATGCCCAATGTGATCCCACAAGTGGGCTTTGGGAAGGTGGGGTATACGGAAACCTTACTCTTACCTTTTGTGGGGTAGAGAGGTTGTTTTCGATAAACCCTCGGCTCAAGAGTTATTATTTTATCATATATAAATTCAGTAAAGTTTTCAGCGAAGTAGTGTCATCTAGGCAAGGTGTGTCTGGCCATGGTGACATGATGTATATAACAAAGTAAAAAGATCTTTGACAAAAGGTAGAAAGGTAGATATGTAAATCATTGGCTTAAATGAGAAACTTACCGTGAAATTTCCATATTGGTTTTTCTCCATTCACAACCACCTCAAACATCATATAATCTCCCTCCTTTAATTCATTCGCAACGCAGAATTCACTCCATCCACCCAATATATGGACTATAGAATTGAGGGTATTTAGCCTTAAATTCCATGATCTTTCTCTTTCATCTCTGATAATCAGATCACATTTCTTGTTGATGAGACCATTTGCTATGGCAAATTGTTTAGGAAGGCGCTGAAATGGTTTATATTTTGCACTCAAACATATGATATGCTTCATATTTTTGCTGTAAATAACTCCAACAAAAAAAAGGAGGAAAAGAGAAAATGGTGCAAATGTGTCCTTTAGCCTGGACATTCTTGAAGGGTTAAAGGGAAATGAGTTGTGAGACTTACCAAGTAACCCTTTGAAATGCAATATGGTCTAACAAAGCATTCAAAATGAGATTGACCAATAGGGTTGTGAGGAGCAGCTTCTGCATGGGGAAAAGCCTTGCACTGTTAATTTTAGACAATTCCATAAGAACTTAAATATGACTAATAATCAAGATGAATAGCATCTAAATATCCACTCCAACAATTGGCTAAGTTTTCATCTAGATTGAAACTTATTTTAAAACTGAGAACGAACTTGCAATTCTTTAAGTACTAAGCTAAAAGACTCTAAAGGTATTACCTTTGAATTCAGAATTTTCGGAAGGCTCTTCAACAGTGCTGGGGTTTGTTAGGTCTGTTACATGGTAATACACAAACCCGAGTCACAAAATTTAGTACAACAAAAAGAACACAATTAAAATATGAATACTGTCTAAATATCCACCCCATCTTTTTGCACATCTTCTCGATATTAGTAGGACTTCACTCCCCAAAGTAGACCTTTCTTAAAATTTATTTTTGCTTCATGATGTTATAAAATAAAGTTTAATGATTTAAAATTTGAATCTCATGAGATTTAGAAGTGCACAAACAATACTTATACTTTTATGAACTGTGCTGTACCAACATACTGAAAATCACCACGACCCCCTCAATTGTACAAGCAATGAAAAAATTCAAGGGCCAAGCAAGTTAGAGAAAGGGTCACATACTTTGGTGTTTAGTAGGACTTGTAAAAGTGTTTTTATGGGTTAAAATGACTATTGGATCCATTGTTCTTTAAGCAACAAGTTTGTACAGTTACAAAAATGACTGTCTAGAAAGGATGAGGAAGAATTTATAGAAGACTATCTTAATCAACTCAAACACAAACACACACGTATTTGGGTTTACCTCTGGGAGCCTCGAATAATGATCTTTCTATATGGAATTCAGTTCTTTAGAGGGTTGACAAGAGGCTTGCAGGTTGGTAGAAAAGAGTATTTGTCCAAAGGCGTGAAGGAGGTGATTATTAAGAGCACTTAATCAAGCATTCCCACTTATTTTATGTTCTTATTTCATGCTCCTATCTGTGTTATGGAAAAATTGAAAAGGCTTCAAAGAAACTTCCTTTGGTATCCAGCGGAGGGGAAAGGAATCACTTGGTCTGTAGGGAGACAGTGACAGCTCCTAAAAAATGGGATGGCCTTGGAGTTAAAGATTTGAAGGTCTTCAACAAAGCTTTGTTGGGGAAATGGTTGTGGGGATTCAGGGTGGAGGTTCAATCATTATGGAGAGGGGTGATAGTAGATAAACATGCTGAGATGGAAGAGGGATGGAGAACTACTGATATTATGTTGCCTTTCGGGTGTGGTGTGTGGAGGAATATCATGAAGGGTTGGGTAGAACTTTATGATAATATCTCTTTCGGGGAATGAGATAGGAATAGAGTAAGTTTTTGGAGAAATATATGGTGGAGATACTTTGTTAAAAGATAAGTTTCTAAGCATTTATAGGGTTTTTGTTCAAAGGAAGGCGGTAGTCCAGCAAATAAGGGGGACACAAGGGAAGAATTGTTTTGGGATTTGAGGTTCAGAAGGAATTTCCAGAATTGGGAGGTAAATGAATATCAAAGTTTACAAGCTTTACTCCATTAACATTGTGAGCCTCCCCAAAGACGATAAGATGGAAGTTGGGGAACAATTGTGTGTTTTCTGTCTAAGTTCTTTTACGAGAAGCTTTTGGTGAGGGCAGGAGAAAGCTTATCCTGTAAAGTCTATTTGGATTCCCAAGGTGCCAAAGAAAGTGTGCTTTTTCACTTGGTAAGCTGCTAGAGGGGTGATTTTGACGATGGAAAACATTTCAAAAAGAAAGGTTGTTTGTACATGTTTATTTATGCAAGGAGGTGGGCGAAGATGTTGATCATCTTCTACTATACTGCACTCTGACCAGGAGACAATGGTAGGATATGTTTAGTTGGTTTGGTATGTCTTAGGTGATGCCAAGGTCTGTGAAGGACCTGTTGTTTTGCTGGAAAGCTGTAAGAAGCAAGAGAAAGAGCAGGGCATGAAATGTTGTTCCTCTGGCTTTGACGTGGATCATTTGCAGAGAGAAATAGGAGGGCTTTTGAAGGGGTAGAAACGAGTTTTCGGCAGTTGATGAGTAGTCTCCGATGTCTTAGTTATTTTTGCTGTACCCATGTAGTCCTGGGATGTATAGAGAATTGGGTGTCTTTTGTAGAGAACCTTATTCTTTTGTAGGTTCTTTACTGTTTGGTATACTTCTTGTATCCGGCCCTTTTTGGCCTTTTGACTTATGAAATGAAATTGTTTGCCTGATTAAATAAATAAATAAGGCCCTTTTGCTATAAACTGAAATGTTCACTACGAAATATACTTCCATATGTAAAAAATGTTCTACAAAGATCATTTTTAAAAAAAAATTGAACTGTTTGATTAGGTAAATTTTAAATGTGTAGCTTTTTATGCACAACACTTTTAACAGATTTGAACAACCATACACAAAACAAATAATTTTATCCCAGAAATTATTTAGTGTCATGGTGTATATAACCTTTTTCTTTTTTTTTTAACCCCCCCCCCCCCGGTGCTCCGCCTTTTGCTCCCTTGGTGACTCAACCCACGACCTTAGGGTTGAAAGTGGAGGGTGACCCTTGAGCCTAACTCAACCCCAAAAGTTAGCTCATGAACGGAAGGTTGTCCAAGTCCGTATAAGCAGACCAAGTGCCCATTCCCCAACCAATGTCCCACTCTAACACCCCCTTCATGCCTAGGCCCAATCGGACCGTGAACAATATAGCATGGGGTTCAAATAAGGAAGGACCTACCTCTGATACCATGTAACAGACCAGGTATGGGAGAATAAACTGATATATTATTGCATGGAGTAACAAGTATATATACATGTACATAGTATCCAAACTGTGGAGAAAAGCAAAAAGCAAAATCCCATAGATCTATTATCAATCCCTATAATTATCCTAATTATGTATACAAGGAATATGACTACATTAATTCTTTCAACAATAACAAAGTAAAAAGATCGTGAAAAATAAGAAATTGCTTTAAATGAGGAACCTTACCATGAAATTTCCAGATTGGTTGTTTTCCATTAGTAACAACCTCAAACATTATTTGATCTCCCGCCTTTATGTCATTTGCTGCACAGAATTGGCCCCATCTTCCTCCAATACAGACAAGAGAACAAGAGGTATATATCCTTAAATTCCATGACCTTTGTCTTTCATCTCTAATAATTAAACCACAATTCTTGTTGGTGAGACCATTTGCCTTCGCAAATTTACTAGGAATGCGCTGAAATTGTTTATAATGATTTGCACATTTCATCAAAAATTTCATATGCATCATATTTTACCGTAAATAACTCCAACTGATAAAGAGGAAAAGAAACAAAATAGTGCATATGTTCCCTTTGAGACTTACCAAGTAACCATTTGTAAGGAAATACTGTTTCACCGTGCATACAAACTGAGATTGACCAGAAGGGTCATGAGGAGCAGCCTCTGCACGGGGAAATGGCTTTGCTTTAATGAAAAAAATTATCACAAATAAAACATGAAAAAGCATCTACATCCACCAAATCATTTGGCCAATTTTCATCTAAATAAATTGAAACTTATGTTAAGATTATGGCTATTAACTTGCAAATTCATCAAGCATAAACTAATGGACTTTAAGATGTTACCTTCCGATTCAAATTTCTTGCAAGTCTCTTCAAAAGTATGGGCTTCGGTTTCTTCTTGTTGCAAATTCTTTGCATATTCTGTTGATCATAGTGAATTTAGAACCTTCTCACAAATGAAGCCAAAGCTCTTTGACGAAGAAACACCATATAGTGTCAGTGGTGATTCTCTGCCATCCTTGAGGAAATTTGAAGATTTCAAGTTTTTTTTTTTCATTACTACCTCCAGTTCAAGCTTGGAGGATGTACACTCCTATTTATGGAACGATGATTGAACCTCAGTTTTCTAACATTAGACAACAATGTCCTACAATTAGCACTAGAAGCTTTGATGATTCAGAACACCACAATTTGGTAGGTTTTAGATAGAAAGAACTTATTTGTAAAGCAATAAATTGGAGACCAAGCTACTTTCTTGTAAAAAGAGGTCGAAAAGGGAAGACAGAGAAGAATGGTTGCCTCTATGCATATTAGCTATTTTACTTGCTATTCTCAAAATTAATCTTGATTGTGTCCACATTGAAACAATCAAACAAATGTGCTTCGTGACTCCACTTTACAGTGGTGCTTAAACTGCAAAAATACTTTCCAAGGAATGTCGTTGTGAGAAATAAAGGCACGCAACAAATATTATTGAAATGTGTTACTACTATTGTCTTACACTGAGCCCTATTTATACCTATACTTTATACTATATAATAAATGTTTCTAATGTGGGACACTAAGTGTAATATTAGATATATGAAGTATCTATCCACTTGAAGCCGGTGCATACAAGTCATATGTACCGAGCTTGATACAGATGTAACTAATACAAGGGGACCAAGTAGTGAAAATATCTACAAGTTGTTCATTTAACTTCACAAATTTTGTAATAATATTTTCTGAGAGCATTTTAAATGTTTAGCTGTTTATGAAGAACAATTTATTACAGATTTGAACAACCAGACACAAAGCAAATAATTTTATCCAAGAAGTTATGAAGTGTCATGGTGCATATAACTAAGTAAAAAAACCGTGAAAAATAAGAAGTTGCTTTAAATGAGGAACCTTACCATGAAAGTTCCAGATTGGTTGTTCTCCATTAGTAACAACGTCAAACATTATTTGATCTCCCTTCTTTATGTCATTCGCAGCACGGAATTCACTCCATCTTCCTCCAATATAGACTTGAGAACAAGAGGTATATATCCTTAAATTCCATGACCTTTGTCTTTCATCTCTAATAATCAAACCACATTCTTTGTTGGTGAGACCATTTGCCTTCGCAAATTTACAAGGAACGCGCTGAAATTGTTTATAAAGATTCACACATTACATCAAACAACTCATATGCATTAGATGCTCACTTAAATACTCCAATAAACAAAGAGGAGAAAAATAAACAAAATGGTGCATATGTTTCCTTTGAGACTTACCAAGTAACCATTTCTAAGGCAATACGGCATAACAGTGCATATAAACTGAGATTGACCAAAAGGGGTGTGAGTAGCGCCTTCTGCATGGGAAATGCCTTGCTTTAATAAAAAAATGATTACATAATTAGGGAGTCGTTTGGTTCCTGGTTAGGAAGTGAGTTATCCATTTATAAAATCAACATAATTAGTACCATGTTTGGTAGCATTTTAGTTGTTATGTGTAAAATTCAGCACACCAAGTACGGTGTTTGGTTATAGAACAACACATATATACGTTGTGGTCAAATACTTGTAAAAAAATTAAAAATAAAATATTTCAGAGGATACCTAATGAACTTAAATCCCGCACCAGATATTCGTGTAGCTATGGGTAGAATAGTTCATAATGTAAAACATGCATGGAGAACAACACACCTATTGAGGTATTCCCTTGCTTGAGAGGAGTGCTGAACGAGTCCAATTTTACGTTTTAAAAGATTGACCATGAGGCAAGGTATTATTATACAGAAATGTGAGTTTGCTACTTTTGTCATCTTAAAAGAGCCACAATGAAATGTTATCTGTCACTCCATTTTGTTATGTATCTTGATACTTGTTGTCAACCTTTTCTTGCTACCCTTCTCCGGATAACTTTTCTTCTTGAACCGAGCGTCTATAGGAAACAACCTCTCTATCCTACCAAGGTAGGATATAGTTTGCGTACATCTTACTCTCCCCACACCCCACTTGTGGGATTACACTAGGTATGTTGTTGTAGTTGATGTAAGTACGGTGTTTAGTTACCAATTTACAGTTCCGTATCATTAATACATGTATAAGTTATGAGAAAATCTATTTATTATTTATGCAAGGTAGAATATGGATTAAGTAATACATAATAACTAAACCCTGCAATACTAATACTTGCATAACTCTAACCAACAACCAAACGAGTTGTAAGGGTATTAACATAAACAATTGGACTCTAAAGATGTTACCTTTGAATTCAACATTCTTGGAAGTCTCTTCAATAGTACGGACGACTTCTTCTTCTTCTTCTTGCAAATACTCTGCATATTCTCTATCACAATGACTTAAATTAAAGACGGAAACACCAAATTCCAAGTCTCCTTCATGTCTAAAAATCAACATATCTCCTAACTTCAAATCATGCTCCTCCGCGAATTGTCCCCAACCCTCGTCCAGTTTCTGTCCATTTAGCTTCACCACCCACTTCTTACCACCCTTCTTCAGTATTGCATGTCCCTTTTCCTCACATCCTTCCAAATACTTCAAGAAACCATCTGGAATTTTCTGCAGTACAACATAAAACTTGACCCAAATAATCATGCTGTTTTTTTAAAAAAATAAAATAGTTTTTTTTTTTTCTTTTCTAGGATAAATTCTTCCACCTCCATATACACATTACTCCCGGTGGCGAAGCTAGGATTTTCACCAAACATACCTAAAAAAATAATTTTAACCATATATAAACAGTGTAAAACGGGTTTGAATCCTACCAGACTCCGCCCCTGAATTTACTCCCTACATTACAATTTCTGTGCTCTGATTCGGAATACAATAGTTAATCTAACTAATTCTCAGTGTAAATACAAACATAGAATCCCCAATTTTAGATTTACATTAAAAAATATATTGTTTTTGACTCTCCAAATAATATTTAAACACAAAAATTGAAACAGACAGATTAAAAAATAAGAAAAAATTGAAAAAAGAATAAAAATAAAAAGTATTAAGGATTTACTCACCAGACTATTCTTGAAACCTGGGAGAAGGGGTTTGAAAAAGTGTGGTTTAACTGAAGTGACTTTCATGGCCGCAAAGAGAATGCAGTAAACTCTACTGTGAACAAATCATACTTACTTTCTGTAAATTTTGAATACAATTGAAGGAGAAAGCAAATTATTTGGAAATTTGATGGCAGCAATGCAGCAAGTAGAGTGTGTTGAAGAACAAGAAGAAATTTTGCAGCATCCAAAGCAAAAAAAATTTGACTAAATTTTAGTGTTTTTGGGAGTTGGGACAAATAAAAGCAAAGAACATTGGGGAGAAAAAAATCATAAAATTTTGATGGTTTAATTTGTATATAGTTGGATGAGTTAATAACTCATGTGATTTATCCTTAGGGTTCATTTTAATTCATTTAGTTTAGTTCATTCATGAAAAATGTTAAAATATCTTTTAAGAATAATCTTATTTATTTGATATATTTTTTAAGTCATAACATTAAGGGAAAAAATAAATATTAGGTATCCAAATAAATAATTTTTTTTAAAAAAACTAGGTTTGAATTTAAAAATAATTAAAATCGAAAGAATTGGATTATGACCTAATTCTTAGCTTAGCTCATTTTCGTCTGATTTTTTCAATCGAAATAATGTTTAAGTGGATTAATAACCGACGGAAAAACTCATAATATTTGAAACCTTTTGGCTTACAATGAAAATAAATTTTTCTCCTATTTTAATTTAGGGAAAAGGGTAAAAAATATCCCTCAACTTTGATTTATTAATTGACTATGCTCTTACCGTTAAAATACAGTTATTCTTACCCGTGCCATTACTAATTTCATCAGCCTCTATGTTGACGAAAATTCCCAAATCGACTTAAAAAGCATTTTATTTGACACAGTAAGAAAAAAAAAAACTCATAAAGTGAAGTTGGGGTCAAACTAAAATTACACACAAAAAAAAATGTTTTTAGGGATGCTAAGACCTTTGGATGCTTAATATTGATAAATTCTAATTTTGATTCTTATAATACGCAATATATTTAATTTTCAATTAATTCAAATTTTGTATTGTCTCTTTATATAGAAAAATGTCATATTTTAATTAGTTTTAGAAGTATATTACCCATAATTCATAAATATAGAATAATAATGTAAACTTAACCTAACACTTGTAATATGTTACAATTTTTTTCAAATTAATATGACAAAACAATACATTTCATATTAAAAGTGACTGAAATCATAACATGAAAAAAAAAAAAAAAGTTATCAAATTTTTCAATGGAATTCATAGAAAAAGTCTAATGGATGTTAGCATTTCCAACAGATAATATTAACAAGCTAGTCAATATATATGAACATATCAGAGCCTTGTTAATTCGATGCACAAAACATCTCACATTCAAGCAGGATCTACGGAAAGGGGTGTTACATGCATACATAGAGAGAGATATATTCAATCGCGCTTCATTGATCAACCAATCCCTTGAATGATGCTTGCATTATCTCCAGATTTTTTGTGCCTACAAAATACATTAGCTTATGTAAGTCAATGTTAAATTTGCTAGGAAGCCAAATGGATTATAATTCTTTCAAGTGTTCACATAATTTTCAAACTCTTATCCATGTAACTAATGAATTCCTTTTTTCAAAGAGTTAATGGTCAATGGAACAACCGATAGTTTAGTAACTGATGATAGTTCAGGTAGGAAAATGGAACAACTACTTGTTGACCTAGTCAGCCTCGAGGTGTTCAAGTAGGAAAAGGGAACAATGAAACTCGCGAAATGAGAAAACGTACCATGAAATTGCCATATTGGTTTCTCTCCGTTGGTAACAACATCAAACATTATGCGATCTCCTTCCTTTAAGCAATTTGAATCACGAAATTCATGCCATCCGCCTTTAATACATACACAAGTTCCAAAATAACATAACCTTAAATCCCACGACCTTTGCCTTTCATCTCTAACAATCAAATCACGTTTCTTGTTGATGAGATCATTTGCATGAGCAAATTTTTTAGGAATGCGCTGAAATTGTTAACAATCATTTGAACATATTATCGAAACAGTTATTGTAAGCATGATCAGTTTGGCCTAAAAAAAGACTTACCAAGAAATCATTTGAAAGGCAATAAGGTCTAACAGTGCATACAAAACGAGAATAACCAAATGGCTTCGGACTAACTGCTTCACCATAGAGAAATGACTTGTTTGATGACTTGATGTTGGGGCTAGGTTTATCTGTTACACGGTTAATTGCGCACAAATCTCGATAAGCCTCAGTCTCAAACACAAACATTTCACAAGAAATTTAAGGCCTCACCATGAAATTTCCATACAGGTTTTTCTCCGTCAGTAACAACTTCAAACATTCTACGATCTCCCACTTTTAAGCAATTTGCATCACGGAATTCCTTCCATCCACCTACTATATAGATCTCAGAACCATAGGCAGCTAGCCTTAAATTCCACGACCTTTGTCTTTCATCTCGTATAATCAAATCACATGTCTTCACGAAACCATTTGCCAGTGCAAATTTTTTAGGAAGGCGCTGAAGTGATTTACAACCATTGGCAATATATCATCAAACATATCATATGAATCATATTTTTTAAATAAACTCCAATATAAGTTTTGAGACTTACAAAGTAACCATTTGTAAGGCAATATGGTTTAACAGTGAACACGAAATGAGTAGAAACATCTTCCGTATCGAGAAATGCCCTGTTTGAAGACATGATGCAGGGGTTTGGTTTGTCTGTTACATTTGTTAATTTGTAAACAAATCCATATCAAGATAGTATAAACAATATTAACTTGCAAATCCAATATAAATTGTAACTTAATTTCAAGATTAAGGGAACTAACTTGCAAATCCATCAAACTATAAACAAATAGACTCTAAAGAGGTTACCATTGAATTCAAATTTCTTTGAAGTATCTCCTTCTTCTTGTACCTCGTCCTCGTCCTCATCCTCGTCCTGTTCTTGTATTTGCGTACACTCTGCATATTCTCGGTCACAATAAGTTGAATCAAAGATGGAAACCTCAAATTCCATATTTCCTTCATGTCTAAACACCAACATATCTCCCAATTGCACATCATGATCCTCTACAAATTTTTCCCATCCCTCTTCGAATCGATGTTTATTTAGCTTCACTAGACAATTCTTACCAACCCTTCTAAGTATTGCATGTTCATACTGATCATATCCCTTCAGATACTTCAAGAAACCTATAGGAATTTTCTGCATTACAACATAAACTTTAGATTACACTAATTTAGGAGTACATGAAAATGTAGCAACTATCTACCCAAATTATGTTTCTTTTGTGAAACAAAATTCTTCCACCATATTCACTACAACAAACAACTTCTAGCAGCAAAAAATATACACATTAACAAAGAGTGTTAAAGTCTTAATTACCAACATTAGCTAATTGTCACTGGATCCAATGTCGCTATAAGCTTTAGGAGTCATTTACAAAAAGTGTTAATTACCTCTGGAAAAAAAAACATATTTAGCGGCAATTAGGTCATTGTCGTTAATTAAGTGCTGCTAAAATCATTTTTTGACACAGTGATTCTACAGACATAACAACTATGCCTCAGTCACAAACAAGCTTGGAATATCAGCTATATGAATTCCCACTTCTTCCACAAATAATTATACTCCCATCATTTCAATTTGTTTGTCTTAATTTCCTTTTTAGTCCCTTTCAAAATTGACCTTCACGCGGCATGTTTAAGACATAAGATTAAAAGACATTTTGATATATTCTAGGATCTTTGTGGTTTAAGACCATAAAATTCAACCGTTTTTACTTTTTGAAACTCAGTATCAACTAAAAACTAGATAAACAAATTGAAATCGAACTAGTAATTCATATAGTAGATATAAATGAATGATAAAATTGACAAAAAGAGATTACTCACAACACCATTCTTGAAACCTGGTTGAATAGGTTTGAAAAAATGAGGTTTTTTTGGAGGGATTTTCATGGTAATTAAGCCAAGAAAATGCATGCATACAGTGGACAAATGTATAAAGTTCTTTTAAAAAAATAAAATTGTGACTAATATAATTGGTAAGTGGAATTTAGTGGCAGCAAAGGCACTTTTTCCAATTCAGTGGACTGTGTAACATATACTTATGAATGAATACAAATCCCAATCTTGACTCTTCAAGGCTAAATCCTAATCCCAAAGGTTGTCCAAGAGAAGTACAACCGACGGCGTGTCAATTTACTGCCGTTTTAGGGATTCCATAAATTAAATTATTGTCGTCTTTTAAATGGATTAGGCATAAGTATTATGATCGAAATTTTAGAGACACGTCTTAACTAAATTAAGGTATTATTACCTCCTAAATTCATTTTCTTTTTGGCCCATGTAGCAATATCCAAACATCTCTCATGCGCCTCAACTACGTGGAGTCATTGAGTGTGCCACGTAACCCAAAATGTGTGTAAAATTATTTAAAAAAAGAAGAAGTTTGGGTAATAGAACATTAGTTTAGTTAAGATATGTCTCTGAGATTTCAGTCATAATTTAGGAGTTACTTGTGCATTATTCCTTTTTTAAAAGGGCAAACTACATAAATTCATTGTAGTTTCAAATTTTACTTCTTCTATCATATTTCGCGCTTAGGATATATGAGTCTAAATCCATGAGATATATATATTAGTTTAAATTAATTGGTTGTAACTGATTTTCTTAATTAGAGGAGTAATTAAGGATTTTCAGAATACATGGACAATTAATTTTAAAAATTTAAATTAATCAAATCACTAAATATAAGTCGGAAATCACAGTGTATTCATGTTTAATTAATTTCATTTTATTATTCTTTTGAAATAATAAAATTCATTAATATTATTAATTAAAGACAAAAAATATATATATATATATCTTGATAACTAATTTAATTTATTTTATTTTATTTTATTACTCTTAAAATAATAAATTCATTAATTTGATATTATCATTTATCATTATACACATCAACATCAACATATATAAAATAATAAACCTGAATAAATAGATTATAACTATCTATCAATAATTTCGACACTCATATTCAAATACGTAATTACTCATTTATATATTTCCTTATCACATTCATACATTGTGAACGTTCATGAAATTGATTAAAAGAAGTTTATAAGATCAAATTCCAAATTGTGAGATTAATTTTGATACAACTAACAAGTCGAATTGCTTCAATGTTCCACTCTCTTTGCAACCTTTCCAGAAAATTTGCCTGCAAAAAATAACATTATTTTATATAAAAAGTAGTTACAAAATCTTCTAGGGATGTTATAACATTATTTTATATAAAAAGAATAATTACACAATTATGAGAAATGTTAGCAAAAAGAAACTACAATTGTATAGAGATTTATTTTACAATTACCTTACAACTGATCTAATTGTATAAATATAAATATAATTTTTTAGCGCGCAGAATTTAAACTAGACCAAAAAAATATATAGTAATACTTTTGCATGTCATCATATTTTCACTTTAGTGCGGGGTGTAATTCAATTGAGGAGTTGCCGATATCTTTAACCTAGTGATGGGATTGTGGGAGTTCGAATCTCCTCACTATATCCCCTTCTCCAAATCACCTCCCCCCTCAAAAATAAAAATAGTCAGAACATAAAACTTAGACTCGACAAAAATAGATGAAGAACACTTACAATGGAATTGTGCTATAGGTATTTTCCCATTCTTGATGAGTTCAAATTTGTAAGCATCTCCTACTTGAAGTCCATTTTCTTCTCTGAATTTTGTCCATCCATTCATAATTCCAAAATGATGTGACTCCCTCCCAAGCCAAACTGACCAACATCTTTGTGCTTCATTTTTAAGAATCATCTCACACTTTCTATTCGTCAATCCATTTGACTTTGCAAAACCCAATGGAAGATACTACCATAAGAAAAAAACAAATTCCATCATGTAGAACAAGTTAAATAACATATTAAACGCAATTCTACAAGTGGAGTTTGTAGAGTGTGATGTATATGAAGATTTTACTCCTATCTTGTAAAAATACAGTCCACTCTCAACTCAAAATAAATTTCAGTTATCATAAAAAAAAGAAAAAAAAAAGAGGACTTATACAAAAAGAGTTCAAGTTTTGTACACACGCACTTGATGTTTATAACAAATTTAATTTATCAGTTAATTAACCTTGATTAATTAGTAATTATGTATTCTCAATTAAATTTTTAATCACTAAGGTTAATTTTGCAAGGTTAGGTGAAACACTAGGGGTAAGTGTATAACTTTAAGTTACCTACTACAATAATATAATAAGAAAATCAAATAAATTAAGCAACCTACTATAACAGGTTAAATTACACTAACAATGTAAATTCTTTTTTTTCTTTTGAGTGTATATAATTATTTTAACCCAAATAAAATCAGTTTAAATAACTTACCAAAATTGGCTTGCTGATGCAATAAGGTTTGATGGTTGAAACAAAATAAGGATGATCATCATCACCACCAGAAGTTGAAGTAGATGCTTGTGCATTCAGAGGCTTTTTCTTAATGTCTATTTATTTATTATAAAAGAAAAGAGAAATAAACATAACAAGAAAGTGGAATAATTAGGATAAAAAGAAAAATATAACAAGTGGACATGTTTCAAAAACACAAAAATTACGTGACACAACAAACTAAAGTTCTATATTTATTAGAAATAGCGGTAGTTTTTAAAATATTACAAAATATAACGATAGTTTAGGATTTTATAACAGATATACACATGAATATAGTCCAATAAAGATATGTGCACAAATACACTTATATGTGTGGATACAATGTATTTTATTATTGCTACACACATGAATACAGTTATTTACTATAAATATTGCATACACATGAATGCACTTATTTATGGGCGTGAATACAATATATTCATTATAGAGATACTACATACGCATGAATACACTTATTTATGGGCATAAATACGATGTATTCTGCTATGTTATGAAACCAAAATACAAAAAACAACATTTTAGACCAAGATAAGAAAACTTGCCTTGAAACTTGTGCATTGAAGTTCCTCCATTAGTAACAACTTGAAATTTCCATATTGGTGTCTCTCCATTAGTAACAACTTCAAACATTATTCGATCTCTCTTCTTTAGGCAATTATCGACCATGAATTTATACCATCCATCTCTAATATAGACTTCAGTTCTCCAATAACAAAACTTTAAATTCCACGATCTTTGTCTTTCATCTCTTATAATCAAATCGCATTTCGTGTTGTTGAGACCGTTTGAATATGCAAATTGTTTAGGGATATACTGAATGGTGTATACCATTGCACACATAAATGTTAAACATTTCATGTTCTTTGTATTTGCACTAAATATAACTCTAATTAACAAATAAAATAACAATATAAGATAACTTTTGAGTCCTCTCACATTATTTGATATATAGTAAGTTTACCTTTTTGGGGTTTACTAACTAATGTGTACCATAGAGATGTACTTGCAATAATTGCTTATTAAGTTATAAACTTTTGGATCGTTTAGTAGCTGGTTAGAATTATAGACATTAGTTATGCGAGTATTAGTAATGTAGGTATTAGTTATTTCACTTTTTACCCCTGCATAAGATAATAATATAATAATTCCCTCATAACTTATATATGTGTTAGTTATACGGATTTTTAAATTGTAAAAAAAACACCGTCTATAAATTTTATATATAAATAACTTATTTCTTTACCAGCTATTAATCATTGTGTAACTTATACAAAAATTAAATGTATAATTAAGTTACTTCTTTACTAAAAAAACAAACAACCCCAAGGTTGTGTTTTGATATGGAGGAATACTTTTTTCCAGAAAATATTTTTCAATCTTTCCATGACATTCCACATTAATTGTCTCAATCTCAATGCTTCAACACCCCCACCTCCAATCCATCTCTACCCCCATAGTCCCCTACTCCCATCTATGTAGTCCCCGTTTCCTTGCACATTCTTCATAGTGTTTATTTAAATTATATAAAATATTTTTTATTTATTTATTTATCAAGCACAAGAAGATAAACAAGAAATTCACTTATCTTACGAGAAAATATTCTTCAAGATAATATTTTCTTAAGTTCAATGAGTCTTGAGACTTACCAAATAACCTCTTGAAATACAATATTGTGCAATGGTGCACTCAAAATGAGATTGAATAGTAGCAACTTCTGCATGAGAAGAAGTCTTATTTGACAACTTGATGTTGGGCCTTGATTTTTCTGTTACATTAATGTCAAGAAATTAAAAAAATGATGAATAAAATTAAAATATTAGTTTTTGTTATAAAATAAACATCATTTGGTTTCGCCGTACGTTAGTGAATAAGGGCATGTTCGAACCAATTTAATTGAATCTCCTTGACATAAAAAAAAAAAGCTCAAATATATCGACAATAAAACAGATTTATAATTAAGATGAGAAACTTGCCTTGAAACTTCTTCATTGGAGTTTCTTCACGAGTAACAACTCGAAATTTCCATATTGGAGTTTCTCCATTAGTAACGATCTCAAACATTATACGGTCTCCTTCCTTTAAATACTTTTCCACAGCAAATTTACGCCATCCATTTCCAATATAGGTTCGATTACCATAGGAATTTAGCTTTATATTCCACGACTTTTGTCTTTCATCTCTTAAGATCAACGCACACTTCTTGTTGGTGAGACCATATGCAATTGCAAATTGTTGAGGCAGAAACTGAAATGGTGTATATAAATGCAAATAAATATGCTATTAATCTTCAAATTTACACCAAATTTATAACACCAATTAATAAAGGATAAGACACTCATAAGAAAAAAAGATGACGTGAAGATATTGACAAAAAAAAAAAACTAGTACATAGTTTTTTTTATGAGGAAAATGGAATTCTCTCATGAAAAATTCAGATAAAGACAGATACAAAGCGTAAAAAATTCTTTGATGGGTAAAATAGACAAACAAAATTAAATTAAGCTAAAACATTTTTTTCTTTCTTGCAAGAAGGAAAGCACTGAAATTTTGAGGAATGACATTAGTCGAGTTTAAAACTTTACTAAAGTTTTAAAATACGAAAAAGTAAATATATTTGAACTAACTTAATAGAGTTCAACATCTATTATATATAGATAGAAAGTAATTCCAGTCATATATAAATAATGTAATTTTCCACCGACAGAAATTTGAATAAACCTCTAGCCCCAAACTAACTCAACTCATGACGGAGTAAACTACTTACACAAAATAATTCCTATGGTATATATTGCTTTAGCCTAAAAAAAATCTTAAATTGTAATTTTGAGACTTACCATAAAACCTTTCGAAAGACAATATTGTCTAATAATGCATTCAAAATGAGGTTGACCAAAAGACTTGTCATAAGTAGTCTCATCTTTATCCTTGTCCTCGTCCTCATCCTCATCTGAGATAAAAGTTAGAACTTTAATAATATGAAATTTCAAATATTTAGTTTAAAATTAATATTTGTCAAATTTAATTTCAAATACCACATATTTAAAAGTTCAATAATACATGTATGCATAAAATTCAGGCAAAAATGGCTAAACATGGAAAATAAAAAGTTGAAAAAAAAAGTTGAACTTGCCTTGAGACTTCTTCATTGGAGTTTCTCCATGAGTAACAACTCGAAATTTCCATATTGGTGTTTCTCCATTAGTAACAATCTCAAACATTAAACGGTCTCCTTCCTTTAAAAAGTTTTCCTCAGCAAATTTACGCCATCCATCTCCAATATAGACTCGAGTTCGAATATTGCTGGAACTTAGCTTTAAATTCCACGACCTTTGTCTTTCATTTCTTACAATCAACACACACTTCTTGTTGGTGAGACCATTTGCAATTGCAAATTGTTGAGGCAGTATCTGAAATGGTGTATATTATAAGTGCTAATAAACAGTCCATATTCTTCAAATTATAAGGGTTCAACATCTATTCTATATAGATAAAAAAATAATTTCAATATATGATATATAAATAATATAATTTTTCATCCGTAGAAGTTCAGATAAACCCCTAGTCCTAAGTTAGCTCCGCTCATAACAAAGTAATACTACTTACACAAAATAATTCATATGGTATTACTTTAGCCTAAAAATTCTTAAAAGAGTAATTTTGAAACTTACCATAAAACCTTTCGAAAGGCAATATGGTCTAACAATGCATTCAAAATGAGGTTGACCAAAAGACTTGTCATCATGAGTAGTCCCTTCCTCTTCCTCGTCCTCATCCTCATCCTCGTAAAGATACTCTACGTATTCTCTATCACAATGACTTGAATCAAAGATGGAAACTTCAAATTCCATATCTCCTTCATATTTGAAAATCAACAAATCTCCTAATTGCAAATCATGTTCCTCTACAAACTCTTTCCAATTACCCTTTTCTAATCGTCGATCATTCACTTTCACTAACCATTTTTTACCCTTCCTTCTCAATATTGCATGTTCATTTTGATCATGTCTCTTCAAATACTTCAAGAAACCTATAGGAATTTTCTACAACATAACAAATAAATATTAGTAATTTAAATTAAAATAAATTATTCATAAGAGATGATATATTTAAAGAATTACTACTTACAAGTCCATTTTTGAATCCTGGTAGAATTGGTTTGAAAAAATGAGGTTTCTTGGGAGGGACTTTCATGTGTGTTCTTTTTTGTTTTTCCTTAGAAAAAAAATGAATGAATTTAGTCGAAGGGAAAGTTTTATTAATAGAAGTATTCACTCCGATTTATAATTTATCTGTCTTATTTTCATTTTTAATTCTTTATAAGAAGTATGTCTTTTTCTTTTAAGCAATTTTTTAATCTATTTTATCACCTGATATATTTATCTTATTTTCATTTTTAATTCTTTATAAGAAGTATGTCTTTTTCTTTTAAGCAATTTTTTAATCTATTTTATCACCTGATATATTTAAAATTATTAGATTTAAAAATATTTTAATATATTTTATTTATCTTAAATTTAATGTCTAATTTCCTTAAATTTTATGTTATATATATATATATATATATATATATATATATATATATATATATTCTCCGTTTTAAATTATTTGTCTGATTTTTAATAATAGGCAAGCTGCTTTTCGTATTCTGAGAGGACTGTGTCATCCAATGCTAATAAATAATGGTGTACATCAATATTGCAATAAAATGTTACCATGTTTAGTGACTCTCCCTCTTCCCTGCTCGTTTTATTTTAAGTTACTTTTTCCGTCTCATATTAGATGGTAGAGCATAGTAAGAAAATATCATTTCCTCCGTCTTATTTTATGCAAGGTAGTTTGACTCAACATGAAATTTAAGAAAGAAAGGAAGATTTTTAAAATTTGTGGTCCAAAATGAATGTTAGAAATTTGTGTGATTGTAAATCATTTCATTAAGGGTAAAATAGACATTTTAGTTAAATTGTTATTTAATATGGAAATGTGTCATTCTTTTTTAGACTAACCAAAAATGAATGTAAGTCACATAAATTAGGACAAAGGGAGTATGTTTTATAGTATATTATTAATATCTTATTTAGTATTATTTTTAATTTATATATAATTAGTTATATATTATATTGTGTATTAGTAATACAATTCCTCCCAAGATATTTTTATTTTACAAAGCTAAAGAACGTAGATGATTTTTTTATTGATAAATATTTTATCCTATATTGTGTGCCAGAATATTTAATTTTTTTGTTGTACTACAAAACGTGTTTTATTTATTATACTACATATTTAAAATTTAAAATTACAAATTTGATTGTTTTTTCTTATTTTCTTAAATTTCTTCATGTCTAATCAAACTTAAATACATAAAATAAAAAGTTATTATTAGATTAAGAAGAGAAGAAAAAGTTATTATTAGATTAAGAAGAGCAGAGTTTATCTCTTTGAATGGCGTGTAAAATTAATAATTGATCCTTCGACGTTTGATCAAGAGTTAAGTTATTTATACATTAAATATGATATAAAATCCAACACATCTAGTACATTATTCGATAAGCAATTAAAAGATTTACATAACTAATACTATAATACTTTTTCTGTCCTTAATTATTTATCCACTTTTTCTTTTTTAGTTGTCTTTAATTACTTGTCCATTTTGACAAATCAAGAAAGAACAAATTTTTTTACCTATTATACCATCAATTAATACTTTGACAAATGTAGAACTTCTTGAAACTCTTAAATTTTTAATTCATTCATTTCATAATTAATAAGGGTAAAATAGTAAATTCATTATATCAATTATTATTTTTTTAATAGGTGTACAAATTTAAAAATAGACACATAAACGAAGAAAGTATAAATTCTAAGAAAATGCATTATTAACCCTGAGGGGTAGCTCAGCTGGTAAAGGCCTGGGACAAAGTCCTTCAGGTCGCCGGTTCGAGCCCCAGCAGGGCCACTGGAGGCATTACAAATCGGCCGCGTCTCCAGGGCCCCGTGGAACTAACCGTGGTGGACCCGCCTTGAAACAGCGGGACCCGATGGATACAGCTAGTCGGGTTCACAAAGCGACGCCCGGAAACCACGGTAAAAAAAAAAAAAAAAAAAAAAATGCATTATTTTATATAAGAAAAGTTAAAATAACTAATAGCTCTAGCCCCAGGCTAAACTGTCTCCTTAATTTAAAAATATGTGATGTGCTGTATATTTTTAGAAATGATATATACTCCTTCTGTTTCTATTTATATGTCACAATTTTTTTATTTTAAATGTATTAAAAATTAAGTAAGTTTACTATTTTATTTTTATTTAATTTTTTTTAAGTCAATTTTTTCATTAATGAATAGGAATTAATTTATTTTGATTAATTAATTTAACCATGAATATAAATTATTCACCTAGTTTTTCTATATTGGTCAAATATATATTTTCAAGGATAATATAAGAAAAATATTATAATTTGTTTTACGACTAATATTCAATATCAATATTAGAGCTTAATTATTTTAAATATGAGCCGCCTAAAGCCTCATTTGACAAAAAATGCTCCCTATTAAAAAAAAAATTCATACTTAAAACTTAAACCGATCGTGATAAGGATAATTATAGGCTCTCTATATAGATGTTAATTATTTGATTTTGTAGGGAGGACAGTACGTTACGTATTCCAAAGGCAACTTTCCAGAAGTAGAAAGTTGACACCTTTTCAATCAGACAAAGGACAGAGAAATTTATAATTATGACTTTATACTATATATATAAAAAATATATATATATATATACCCTTTAATTTTGCACTTTCAAAGTCGTTTGATTAAAAATAAGTTATCTTGAGATTAATTATCTAAGAGATCAAACCTAAAATAGTAAAGTCATAGTTTAGCATATCTAAGAGTAAATTGGTACTGAGCTCGACAATTCTGAACGGAAATGAGTATATAGAAATATTTGATCACTTGATAGGTGACACCTTGGTTTAGGATAAAATCTCATATCGATAAAATATAATAGATATATTAGATATGCATAAATAAGCAAGTCTTACATCTTATTAGCGTGTTTTAAAGTTGTGCGGACCTACCTATTGGAAACAATATCACTCAAAAGTGGACCCACATGTATAGGTAAGGTTGAACGTGCACCAACTAACTTCGAAAAAAATTATGTATATTCATCTTCAAAAATTGACAGAAACTAAAATATGGAGTAATTAACAGTGCACCAATGGGCAGCATAAAAATGCACTTAGGTCGTTAGTACAAACCAAAGAACCTACCCGTAGCTTGCTAGGTTCTATCCCGGCTAGAACCTCATATTATATCAAAGTAAAGTACGATTGTCATGGAAAGTTTCGCCAACACCTAACTTAAGTTAATATTGGTGCAATTTTTAAATCCTGAATTCGCATCTGATATCGTTAAGAGGCCGAGCCATTATAGATAATATTAGAGTCACTCATGTGTCAACTTTATTGATGGTTCATTACAACCCAATAATTTCGGCCAAAACATTAGAGTATTAGTTTTAAGAAATTCACTTAATAAATATCTAAATTCTAATAAATACTTTTTTCTAAAATTCAAAACTAATAAACTCAGAATTTTAAATCGTCAACTAATATATATGTCCCCTGAATATGAAAAGCCGCATTTTAATTCCATCAATAATAGTAAACTTTCTAACTTTCCTTACAAGTTACAATTATATATAATTCCCCCCTCCAATATTATTCTTACATTTAAATCTTCTCTAAAATAAGAAAACATTTTCTACAATAATTACATATTTTTGGTTTTCCATGGAAATCCCTCCAAAGAAACCTCACTTTTTCAAACCCATTCTACCAGGTTTCAAGAATGGCCTTGTAAGTAACACTAAAAAAAATGTATTTACTTCGTCAGATACATGTATTCGAAATAATATTTTTCTTGTTTCAACATGTAATTAGCACCAATAATAGTATGCTTTATGTATTTAGCAATATATGTATAATCTTATAATGAACATTGTCTAATTGATTAATTTGTTGTACTATAGAAAATTCCTATAGGTTTTTTGAAGTATCTCAAGGGACATGATCAACATGAACATGCAATATTGACAAGAGGTGGTAAGAAGTGGTTGGTGAAGGCGAACGGGCGGCGATTAGAGGAGGGTAGTTGGAAAGAGTTTGTAGAGGAACTTAATTTGAAATTGGGAGATGTTTTAGTGTTCAAACATGAAGGAGATATGAAATTTGATGTGTCCATTTTCGATTCGAGTCATCATTGTGACAAAGAGTATGCAAAGTACGAGGACGAGGATGAGGATGAAGATGAGAATGTTACTCATGACAAGCATTTAAGTCGATCATATTTTGAATGCACTATTAGACAATATTGCCTTTCGAAAGGTTTCATGGTAAGTTTCTGTTGATGTAATATACCACAAATATAATAAATTACAGTTGAACTGTTAAGTTAACTGATGTGTGTAATTGGCTATACACCATGTTAGTGGATTCCAAAACATTTTGCAGTTGTAAATGGTTTCCTCAAGGGAAACAAGAAGTATGGTTTGATTATAATTGATGAAACACAAACAAAATTGTGGAACTTAATGCTAAAGTCTTGCAACACTAAAGTTTATGTTGCGGATGGATGGGGAAAATTCAGTGCTGATAATTGCTTAAAAGAAGGAGATCGTATAATGTTTGAGGTTGTTACTAATGGAGAGACACCAATATGGAGATCTCGAGTTACTAGTAATGCAGAAACTCCGATAAGTAAGTTTCAAGGCAAGTTTCTCATCTTATAGTTAACTAGTACTCCTTCCGTCCTATTTTATGTGATGGTATTACTATTTGGAGAGTCGAATAGTTTTTTCTTTGAATTTCATCCTGTTTTCAGGCAAGGGGTTCTCTAATAAAGAAGCTGCTAAGGACATGGATCTCAGTGACTCTCATTTCATTTGTACTATTAGACCTTATTGCCTTTCAAAGCATTTTCTGGTAAGTTCACAAGTACATTATATTTTGATTATTGCGTTGCAAAAGAGGCATAATACATAAATAAACACTCAAATTTGGCCTCAGCTGACAAGTAAACACACTCCTCCAACTTTGAGTATGCACTCAACTCGTCTCTATTATATCAGTTGAATACTCCAGCTTACAAAATGATCATCTAGACACCTCTAAAATTTAGTGTCATGTCAGCCAGCGTTGGGTCGAGTGTCCATGAGTTGGAGTGTTTAGTTGTCAGTTGAGTTACTTGCCAGCTGAGGTCAAGTTTGGTTGTTTGTTCAAGTATTAGGCCAAAAATAGAGAACGAACACAAAATGATGAACTCATTTACATTTACATTTCTTTGATCATTCAGAAGTGTAAAACACAGATACATTTTGATTGTTTATATGTCTACTGTTTCAGTGTATTCCAAAACAATTCGCAGTAAAAAACAGACTCAACGACAGGAAATATAAGATAATAGTGATGGACAAGCAACGATCATGGACGTTTAATGTGTATACAAACAGCCAATACACCTACATTGGAAGTGGATGGCGCGAATTCTGCATTACAAATTGCTTAAAGGAAGGAGACCGTTTAATGTTTGAGATCATTTCCAAGGGAGAAACACCTATCTTTAGAATTCATGGCAAGTTTCTCTTAAAATTTCATCCTGTTTACTTATTTCCTTCTTTAAATTGAGGGGAAAAGGTCTAATTTACTCCTTAACTTTTTGCCTGATATATCCCTCCTTACAAAAGTGTATATATGAGCCACTTTTATAACAATGGGTATATTAGTTCTAAATCGTCAAGTTGAGGATGTATATCAGGTTCTTTTCCCTTCAACTTAGTGTAGTTTCTTTGATTTTGGTTATAAATTTCATCTTATGACATTGTTGTTTCAATTAATAAAACTAGATTTGAGAGGAAGTTCATCCCTCCAGACTGAAGTAAAGAAGAAAAAATCGAATGCTAAAAGAAAGTTAATGCCACAAGTAGCTGCTTCAACATCTGTTGATGCCAACTCTCATTTTATATCTACTATTAAACCTTACACCATTAACAATCCTGTTTTGGTAAGAGTGATTTATAACATATTTTAGTTTTGTATAATATGTGTGGTAACGCGTATTGATTTGTATATTGAGATAAATCTTAGCAGTATCTTCCCCTGGATTTTGTAAAATCAAATGGCTTGATGAGGAGACGTGAGATGATTCTTATCAATGAAAAACGAAGATCATGGTCAGTGTGGCTAGGGAAAACAGGACATCACTTTGCAATTAAAAGGGGATGGACACAGTTTAGAAATGCAAATGGTATTCAAGTTGGAGATACTTACAAGTTTGAACTCACCAACAATGGCACAATACCTATAGTTCATTTCCATTGTGAGTACTTTTTTTATGACCTAATTATACTATGTATGTGTTATACAATTCAGTGTCAAAATTGAGTCTATGTTTTGTTTTGAAAATTTGTAGGTAAATATTCTGGGAATTAAGGATGCCAAGCCAATTCACAAGGAAACTTAATGTTTTTTGAATGACAAATGGTCGAAGATCATAAGATTCAAAAGTTTTCTATAGGCAGTCTGGAATCTCTCTGGTCTATTTTCCTTTTGTAGTTTTGATTAGCTTGTAAGTTGTTTTATGAACGATACAAACTTAGTTTATTACGCCTTTTCGTTTTAAATAATCTTGTGTATATAAAAAAAAATTTAAGTATAAACCAATATTACATGTCTATTTTAAATGAAAAAAATTATTTATCTGTATTATTATAAATATTTATTTCAATTTATAAAATGAAGAGAAGAATGGTAGGTATAGTACAGGATATAGGATGTGTGGGTTTAACCGTTAATTTCTATCCAAAAATGAACCGAAGGATAAATTGTCATTTTTAGGATAATTGGAAGAAAAAACACTTTGAATATCTTATTTTAATTAGTCAATAATTTGTTAATCAAACAATTTTTTGAAATAAGGCCCCCTAAACATCATTTATTTATTCTTTTTTTGTTTGACCATAAAAAAATCAGAATTGACTGATTCAAACTTTATCCCAAATTTAGGTCACTCATTTATGGCTCATTAAGGGAGTTTCACCACCTATAATACTATAACATCAAATTAATTGTATTGATTTTTTCTTATATATATGTGTATAACTAAATCAATAAAAATTTGCCTTTTAGGTTTTCTCGATTTTTTTTTTGGAATTTTTTGATGGTTCAATGTGAAGTATTTTACATTAAATTTTGTTTATATTTTTGTAAAATATGATGTGAATGTTACTATTTGTTACGGTCATACTTAGGTTCTGTTAATTGTAATCAATTACATGCAAAATCATCAATCACAACGATCATGATTAATGAAAGTAGAAAATTTTCATATATTATACATCGACAACTATTACATGTAGAGGTTGAACTCTTTCTAACTTTATAAACACAATTTATTCATTGTTTGATTAAAATGTATTGATTGCTGTTACCAAAAAAAAAAAGACATTATAAGTATATTAGTTGCATATTTGCATTTAATTTAAGTAAGTTAATATATATGAACAGAAAAAATATTTAATTTTGGTTCGGACTTTATTTAAGTTAATTTGTACAAATAATTGGATAAAATTATAAGCCCAAACATATTGTTAAAATGTTAAAGAAACAAAATATTCTGAAAACATTTACAAGGAAAAGTGTGTATTCTTATTCTTAGATATTAGTGAAGGTTATCCGAAGGTTCGGTTCGATTTATATACTTTAACAATTTGGTTAATTATTTAAAACGAGAAAACTATTGAAAACATTTTTGAACAAGGCAAATTATTCATTTTATTTTTCAACTATTGATGGACACTAACTAAACTTAAATATAATTTCAATCTGATATAGCAAGTGGTCTCAAACTCTCGTAAAAGTCGAAAGAATTACTCAAACACTAATCACATTGAATGCTATTGGTGCTGTCAACGGAGAATACAGTTAGCAGGCGGTGACACAAACTACACGAAAGTTGTCCTTTTTTCTGAAAATTTATCCATCACAGAGATGCACGGAGGAAGAGAAGGAACAAAATCGAACATTCTTTCAATTCGTCTCCATTTTTGTAAAACTATTCCTCGATTAAGGATGAATCGAAACAGATGTTTTCGATATCTATAATTCAATAACATTTTTTTTTGATTTAAATTATCGATTATGATTCGATTTTGAACACACAGATTCTGTTTATTTCAATTTTCATCAACAATTACAAGGCATAGAAGGAAGATCGGAGGCTTTAGCATAAGCCGTCAACGGCGATTTCTTAAAAACCCGACTCCCGAAGACCAAAAACCCTAACGTATGGCCGGCAATCGCCGCCAGAAAAATACCGCCATTGAAGGACATCACAGAAAGCATAACTAAATAAGCCAATCCAATTCTGATTCCGTACAAAGCCGTCTGAATCAACCCAGCCGTCACATGATTTGCACTCTCTTTAATGTAATTTGAGTGAGATAGCCACTCGACGAAGAAAGCAAGCAGAAAAACGACGAAAAGTGCGAAAACGTACATACCGATGTTGTTGTAACCAGGCCAACCGGAGAAGAGAATTTCGGCGTTTTTTCCCCAGAAAAACGTCATGTGCATCATCATGTGGTGGTTGTTCACGGCGGCATCTGGTGCCGGCGGCGCCATATCTCCGTGCATATTCATAGCGCCGTTCATCTCTGCAAATTGAATCGTCTCTGTTTTGAATTTTCTTCCAAATTGGAGTGTGAAATGTGTGATGGAGGAGGTGCGTACATGTTTTAGATAAGCCAAATTTTGATAGAAACAGTTCAGTAAAAATCAATGTTCGTTTAGTACTCCAAGGAAAGTATAATTTTACAGAACGATTCAGTGAGGTGTAAGATATAATAATCTCAAAATAAAATATAAAATTAATTTTATTTTACGTCTAATTAGAGGTATTAGATAATTCTTAGTTTATTGTTTTTGCTATAGTGATAAAGTAATGTTAGATAAATTAATATAATATAACCTTGACCATTAAAATTTAAATAAAACACAGCGAAATTCACGATGGACGGACTTGATTTATCCTTTCCAAAAGGTAGATTTATTTATTTTTGATAAAATAAAAGGGTTTCAATATATATTAATTAAGAATTATGTACAATGGAAAACACGTGGCCCCACTTCTTCACATGGTAAACACGTGTCTCACTGATTAATCAATAATTCATTCGTTTCTATTTATATGTTACTCCTATTTTATATTTCACTTCTCTTAAAAATTAGGTAAATTTATCATTGTATTTTTATTAAGTTATTTCTTGAATCAAGTTTTCAATAAATAAACATAAATTAATTTATTTTGATTAATTAAATTGATCAAAACCTGACTTAATTATTTAATTTTTCTATGTTGTTTAAATACATATTGTTAACTAATAACTCGTAACAAAAATAGAAAGAATAATATCATTTATGCATTGATTTTGTAAAATGACAAATACTACCTCCGTCCAACAATAGTTGTCTAATAAAGTAGAGTATTACTTTGAAATGCCCAACAATATTTGTCCACTTTATGAAATCAATAAATAATAATTTAAGACATTGTATTTATTATATTCAAAGGGTGATACAGAAAAATTGTCCTTCTAATTATAGTTTTTCTAAGAAGTGTACAAAATCAACAGTGGACAAGTATTGTTGGATAGATAAAGTGAAAAATCTATTATTAATAAAAAGGTGAAAGTAAAATGAAACGGAGAAAGTAAACTAAGATGGTACGACACATCATACAACATATTTAGCAAAATGTTGTCACTTTGACTCTCCTAAAATGTTGCCGCACTTGTACTAGATCTACCAGAAATGCATTACTGTTAGAGGATACGACAAGTACGCATCGACAATTTTGAAGAGTCTAAACAACGCATAGGCAAAATGTACAAGATCCAAAAACATTACATTCACTTGCTTCAGTGCTTGCCCATCACCAACTGCTTCATATTATCTTGTCAATTGGTTTGTGTGATGCTTGGCATCCTTCCTAGAAATTTTACCTATAGTTTTCAAAACAAAATTAATAAGGGAAGCTAATGTGGTGATTGAAACACAATAGAAAACAAATGATAATAGATATCAAACTCAAGATAATACATGTATAAAACTAATACTACGACAGACACGGTGCTCCCAGACTCCCACCAAGCCTAAACCCACCAAAAAGCTAGTCAAAACCTCAACTACCTACTGACCTTATACCCTAATCCGCATCATCCATACCTTCCCATGTCCTATCTAATCACTTCTTCGGCCTACCTCTACCTCTCCCCATACCCACTATATCCAACCTCTCGCACCTCCTCACTAGGGCATCTACACATCTCCGAAGAAATTGAACGAAAAGGAATTATGTTCTCTTAGAATGCAAAGTGCTTTCGACTATTCAAGTAAAAGTTGCTTAAATGAGGAAACTTACCATTATATTTCCATGTTGCTTTTTCGCCATTAGAAACAATCTCAAACATTATGCAATCTCCTTCCTTTAAGCAATTTGCATCACGGAAGTCACGCCATCCACTCTTGATACATACACTATTGCCAAAAGAACGTAACTTAACGTTCCACGACCTTTCCCTTATATCATCTCTAATAATCAAATCACATTTCTTGTTGATGAGACCATTTGCAAGAGCAATATTTGTCGGAATGTACTGAAACGGTTTATAAATCAATTACACATATCAAAGAGTGGTATACTTCATATCTACACCAAGAAACAAAGAGGGGAAAAAACGATATTCTTGAAAGGACTTCTTGAAGTACATTTTCGACTTACCAAGAAGTCATTGACGAGGCAATAGGGTCTAACAATGCATACAAAATGAGACTGACCAAAAGGCCTGTGCTTGGCCGTTCCTGCACAGGAAAATGCATGACTTGTTATGGATTCTAATTTGTGTCATGGTACATATAACAAAGAAATAATGTTGTTATATAAATAAGAGGTAGCTTAAATGAGAAAACTTGCCATAAAATTTCCATATTGGTTTCTCTCCGTTAGTAACGACCTCAAACATCATGCCATCTCCCTCCTTCAAGTCATTTTCAACACGAAATTTACGCCATCCCTTTGCAATATAGACTCCATAACCATAGGTATCAATCCTTAAATTCCATGATCTTTGTCTTTCATCTCTAATAACCAAACCACATTTTTTATTGATGAGTCCGTTTGCCCGAGCAAATCCTCTAGGAAGACGCTGAAATGGTTTATAAGTTATAGCAATTTGCACATATATATCATCAGCTTCATGTTTCCGCTGTATCATTACTCCAATAAACAAAGAAAATGACGCAGATGTTTTCTTTACGAACTCACAAAGTAATTTCTTGAAAGGCAATACGGCCTGACAATGCACTCAAGATGAGATTGACCAAATGAGCTGCAAGTAGCAAATTCTTCCTTCGGAAAAGCCTTTCTTGTTGACACAATGTTGGGGTTTGGTTTGCCTGTGACAGAGTAATTGTGATAAATTCACGTCGAGTAATCAAACATGAAAAAACTATAACAATTAGGGGTCGTTCGATTGGGTGTATAAGAATAGTACTGAATAAGATTTATTAGTAATACTGAGATTAGTTATGCTTACATTACTTTTTTATCGATTATTTGGTTTATTAGTATAGTTGTTTACGAAGAACATGTTTTACAGTATGGAGAACCAAACACCAAATAGTTTTGTCGAAGATGCAATATAATGTCATGGTATATTGTACATAACAAAGAAAAAAGGATCATCGACAAAAAAGAAGAGGTTTTAATCTGAAAAACTTACCGCGAAATTTCCATATTGGTTTTTCTCCATTAGCAATAACCTCAAACATCATATAATCTCCCGCGTTTAAGTCATTCCCAACGCGGAACTCACGCCATCCACCTAATAGATGGACTCTACAATCGTGGGTAGCTAGCCTTAAGTTCCATGATCTTTGTCTTTCATCTCTGATAATCACATCACATTTCTTGTTGAAGAGACCGTTTTCCATTGCAAAGTGTTTAGGAAGGCGCTGAAATGGTATATAACAATTTGAACATATGAATATGATTATACGCTTCATACGTTTGCTGTAAACAACTCCAATTTGGTAGTTTTGAGACTTACCAAGTAACTATGTGTAACGCAATATGGTTTGACGATGCACTCAAAATGAGATCGACTGCAAGGGTTGTAAGTATCAGCTTCTGCACAGGGGAACGCCTCGCCTGATGACATGATGCAGAGGTTCGATTTTCCTATTACATTGTTAGTCATAGAGAAATCCATGTCAAGAAAATTAAATATGACAAAAATTACCACAATCAAAACATGAATAGCACGTAATTGTCCACCCCATTACAATGTGTAAATGTTGAACCTCTTTTAACTTCTTCGTGTGTTTACTTTTCATATTTTGAATCCGTTAGTGAGTAAAGATCCTGGTTACGCCACTGGACACAACTAGTTAAGATTAAGGGATTCCAAAGATGTTACCTTTGAATTCAAATTTCTTGCAAGTTTCTTCAACATTACTGAATCCCGCTTCTTGTTGAAGATACTCTGCATATTCTCTGTCACAATGACTCGAATCGAAGATGGAAACTTCAAATTCCATGTCTCCTTCATGTCTAAACACCAACATGTCTCCCAATTGCAAATCATTCTCCTTAGCAAACTCTTTCCAACCCTCTTCTAATCGCCAGCCGTTCAACATCACCAACCACGTTTTACCCGCCCTTCTCAGTAGTGCATGTTCATGTTGATCATGTCCCTTCAGATACTTCAAGAAACCTATAGGAATTTTCTGCAGTACTAAACAAACTTAACAACAACCACAACAATAACATACCCAGTGTAAGGCTCTATGGAGCGTAGAGTGTACATAGACCTTATCTAGGGTGGCAAAATCAAATCCAACCTGCCCAACCCGTTTAAGTTTGGACGGGTTAATAACCCACTCATTTAGTAGCTCAACCCATTAAAAATAACCCGAATTGGCTCATGAGAAATGTTGTCAAAATATTTTTAAAAAGCTTTTTCTTCAATTTGATATGTTATATATAGTCGTAATAAAGAAAAATAGTAATTATATTAGGTAATAACATAGTTTAAAAGAAAATATAAAACAATTAAGCTTAGTAAAACTTGAGTTGGGTTTGAGTCTTGACCCGTTATATAACTCATTGCCCCGCCCAAATTCGACCCAACCCACCAAATTACCACCCCTAACCTTATCCCTACCTAGGTAAATATTGGTTGTTCCACCGTAACACAAACATGCCCCAAATAAATCTGAATTTCAATTAATCTGTCCTACTTTCCTTTTTAGTCCGTGTTAAAAAGATTATTTTTTTAACAAATTTTTTAATTTCAACATTTTACCTGACATGTTTAATACTACAAAATTAAAGGACAATTTGGTAAATTTGACATATATTTAATTTAAGACAACAAAATTCAAAAAATTCTCTTCACTTCATTTAATTTCGTGTCAAGTCAAAATATGACAAACAAATTGAAACAAACCATTACTATTATGCTTTTGTTTAGGACCTGAAATTGTACTAATTTTCTACCCAATTAAACAATTATAAAATGCTTAAAAGAACTATAGCTTTCAAATTTTAGTGTTTTTTTTTTTTGCCTTTTCTGGAATAAATTCTTCCATCTCCACAACATCATACAAGAAACATATAGTAAATAAAAGAAATATTAGAAAAAAAATAAACTTAAAAGGATTACTTACAAGACCATGCTTGAAACCTTTTTGAATGGGTTTGAAAAATTGAGGTTTTTTTGGAGGAATTTTCATGGCAATCAACAAAATGCCTCTTTCTGTTTTGCAATTCACATTTAAGAAAAATCACTAAATTTTCAACAATTTAATGAAATTTCAACTTATAATGGAATTGTTGACAACTTTTCAAGGCAGTGTAGACTGTGAAAGCATATGACAATTTGCAGCTTCCCAAAGAGAAATTTGAACACATGGAAAGTTGTGTGGGTCCATTTGTTTATCATTTTCCTCAAAATATACAATTAAATTTATTTTAAAAGGTTAATATCTTGATTAGATCTCATATATACAACCTACTCTCTCGGTTTATTTTTACTTGTTATTGTTTGACTTGACATATTTATTAATTTAGACATTTTACAATACTATCCCTATTAGTTGATGTTAATATTAGATATTGAAAAATGATTTGTAGAGTAGTATTTAATGCTAATTGCAAAACATGAAAAAAAAAAAATTATCTTTTCTTGATATTTCAAATTTGACAAGAAAAATGAAAATTTATTAGTGACAAGTAAAAGTAGATGAAGAGAGTACTATATACTTTTATAAATATTTTTGTCACCTTATTTATTTTTTACTTTATTTGAAAATTTTGAAGTAGGATCAGAAGATGAAATTGTGTTTGTTTACAATTTTTGTCAAAATTATTTGATTATTTGAATTTACTTGATTTAAACATGAAATATATTTTAAATAAGATTACTTTTATAAAAATAAAAAATTAAAGGTAAATTTGAAAAAGAAAAAAAAATGAAAACAAAGTTTTGAATGTTTTTTTAAAAAAATATTCCAAACACATGTTTAATACTAGTAAGTTCAATTTTCAAAGGTCTAATCTATTCGTACCATACAACCTTACTCATTATAATATTAAGTCCAATATGAAATTATAACTTACCTTGGAAGGCGCAAAAGTCGAACCTAAAAACCCCACGTACCCAAAACCAAGCTTAAAAAACTTAATCCAATCCAAGTTTATTTGAATTGTAACTTCGTTGATCTAAGAATCAAAATTTTCATATCCAATCTGAATGATCCGAGCATTCACCCCTAGTTTCAACAACATAAACAAACCTTGAAATAATATTGAGCCCACAAAATTTACTCTACCTTTAAAGAATTTGATTTCCTCACAATACTGAAAGTATTGAATCATTTCCTCCCAAAAACATACCCAATGAAATCCCATAAATGGAGTTTGGAGAGGACAAAATATACGCAAACCTTATCCACGACCTCGTGGAGGTAGAGAGGTTGAATCAGAAAGACCCTCAACCCAAGTGAAGAAAAAAGAGACAACAAGAAAAGGTAGCAAGCAACAAGAAAACGGTGCAAAATCTATCAGAAGAGAGCAAAGACAACAACATAATAGTGCAATAACTAATAAACAACATACTAGAACAAATTACTATAACAAGAATCATTTCCTCCCAAAACAAAACAAAATTTACCAATATTGGAATAGCTTCCAAGAATTTTATCAAGCACTCAGATAATCGAAATCCAAATCCAAGCTGCGCGATGAAAAATGCTTCCCTTCTTCCCAACTCTTTCAGTTTTTTCCTATTAATTCCAAACTAATTCTTCTCTTTCCTCCTATAAGGAACAACATCAACTTGCTTCAGTGCAAGTTTCTTGCCCATCACCAACTGCTTCATATTATCTTGTCAATGGCTTCTGTGATGCTTGGCGATTCGCATCCTTAACTCCCAGAATATTTACCTACAGTTTTCAAAACAAGATCTAGACTCAAATTCTGAGACTGAATTGTATAAAGCTTTACATAACACCATAGAGGTCTAAGGTAGACCTTTATATATGGAAAATTTGATAAGCAATTGTTTGGACATTTGATACATAATCAAATATACAGAGACTTGCAGGCTCACACAGAGCACACATTCACACACTGACAAATACTCCCTCCGTTTCAATTTGTTTGCCCTACTTTTCATTTTAGTCGTTTCTAAAAGAATGTTTCTTTCCTTTTTTGACAACTCTTTAATATCAACTTTCTACGTGGTATGTTTAAGACGACTACAAGATGAAAGGATATGATAGTACATTCTACATGTCTTTAATTTATGACCACAAGAAACTCTTTTTTACTTTCTTAAACTCCGTGTCAAGTCAAAACTAGACAAACAAATTGAAACAGAGGGACTATAAAATTACTTCCAGTCTCCATTTACTCTCTAATCAGTCAGCTAAAAATTGACCATTAACGGTACAATCAACACAATTTGAAACCTTCAAGATTTTGTGCAACTTTAAAGTTAACATAACATTCAGGTAAGAAGATGTTTTTGGTTCCAAAATAACTTCGACATTCTAATAACAAAAGGAACAAAAAGGAAAAATAACAACATATACAAAAGAGATATAAAAGAAATACTCACATGAGCTATAGGTATTGTGCCATTGTTGGTGAGTTCAAACTTGTACCTACTTGAATACCATTTGCATTTCTGAACTGTGTCCATCCCCTTTTAATTCCAAATTGCTGTCCAGCTCGCCCTAGCCACACTGACCATGATCTCTGCTTTTTGTCGATAAGAACCATCTCACTTCTAATCATCAAGCCATTTGATTTTACAAAATCCATGGGAAGATACTGCTCAAATTTATCCCAATACAGCATTATCACAAAAAAAACAAAAATAAGCAAAGTCTTTTACTAAATTTGTTCAGATCACTCTTACCAAAAGAGCTTTTGTGAAGGTGTAAGGTTTGATAGTGGATATGAAATGTGGGTTGGCATCAGCAGATGTTGAAGCTGGTGTTTGCGATATTGGAGTAGTCACGTCTGATTTCTCATGCCTAAGACGTGTTATTTCTTTAAAGTAACCAAGAAAAGAAGAAGAAAAAATTGTTATGCACATGATAGTTGCAACATTAATGCAGAAATCCAAACGGACATTGGTTTGCACATAAAAGTAAATACAAGAATGATTATATCAAGTTGATTTTTACTTAATACTTCTGAAGTCTTCAAGAGTCTTTGCTGAAGCATACCAGAGAAATTTAGTCAGCAAATGTGACTTGAATAGACAACATACATGCTTTAGTTTCTCAACCAGTGCCAACAAAAGGTTAAGTCCAATTTCAACCATGTTCCTCTTAGGGTATCGAAAGGCCATCAAATAGAATCTATAACAAGCTTTAGTTCCTCGTTGAAAATATTGTTTTTCATGTTCTTTAGGCAACATGTTTAAACAGTTACAAAAACTGACGGTCTAGAAAGCAGTTACCGAAGACCATCTTTAGTAACCAAAACACACACATTCACTGCAAAGGTCTTCTACAGAACTATTTAATGCATCTCTGTTTCATTCTTTTCAAGAAAAAGAATAATCAATATAATTTGTCAAATATTGTTTATCCCACATGAATTTTCTTTGAAGTTTTTAAATATCAAAACATGAAAAATTGAAAATATATTCTGATGGAACCTGCGACAGGTTCTTTAATTTAAAGGTCTAAATACATAAACATGTGCCAAGGGCCCCTTTATTTTGGATTATAGCCTACGAAAAATGAAGCACTTTGTTATAACAAGCAAAAGCAACTAAAACGAAAGTACAATGTTGAATTCCAACTGTTTGGTAGGGTAAATTTTAAACAGTGTAGTTGCTTATGAAGAACATGTTTTACAGTTTGGAGAACAAACATTAAATAATTTTGTTGAAGATGCCATATAGTATCATGGTGTATATATCAAAGTAGAAAGATCGTTGTTAAAAAGACAGAGGTTGCTTAAATAAGAAAACTTACACTGAAATTTCCATACAAGGTTTTCTCCATTAGCAACAACCTCAAATGTCATATAATCTCCCTCCATTAAGTTATTCACAACGCAGAAGATACTCCATTCACCATTTACACGGACACGTGAATCATAGGCAACAAGCCTTAAATTCCATGATCCTTGTCTTTCATCTCTGACAATCAGACCACATTTCTTGTTGGCAAGACCGTTCGCGATTGCAAAATGTTTAGGAAGGCGCTGAAATGGTTTATAACAATTTGCACATATGATACTCTTCATACTTTTGCTGTAAATAACTCTAATGAACAGAGGAGGGGAAAAATAAAATGGTGCAAATGTTTCCTTTAGCCTGAAATTTCTTGAAGTGTTGAGGGGAAATGAGTTTTTGAGACTTACCAAGTAACCATTTGAAATGTAATTTGGTCTGACAATGCACTGAAAATGAGATTGACCCCTAGAGTTGTGAGTAGCAGCTTCTGCACAGGGTTAGATTGTAGACAAATCCATGTCAAGAAAATTGAACATGACAGAAATGACTATCACCAACACATGATAGAGTTTAAGCATCCACCCCGGACATCTATTTGTTGGTTTTTAATCTAAGCTATTTGACACTTGTGTTAAGATTAAGGGACTCTACAGATGTTACCTTTGAATTCCACTTTCTTGAAAGTCTCTTCAGCATTATTGCCTCCTTCCTGCAAATACTCTGCGTATTCTCTATCACAGTGACTTGAATCAAAGATGGAAACTTCAAATTCCATATATCCTTCATGTTTGAAGATCAAAAAATCTCCCAATTGCAAATCATGCTCCTCTGCAAACTTTTCCCAACCCTCTTCTAATCGCCAGTCGTTCACCTTCACCAGCCACTTTTTCCCCGTCCTTTTTAGTATTGCATGTTTAATATGGTTCAGTCCCTCCAGATACTTCAAGAAACCTATAGGAATTTTCTGCAGTACAAGATAAACTTGCCCCAATTAAAAGAACTATTGCTTTCAAATTTTTGTGTTTTTTCTTTTCTAGGATAAATTCTTCCACCTCCACAACATCATACATGCAACATATAGTAAACAAGGTAAAGATGGGAAAAAAAAACATGAAAGGATTACTCACAAAACAATGCTTGAAACCTGGCTGAATCGGTTTGAAAAATTGAGGTTTCTTTGAAGCGATTTTCATCGCAGTCACTAGATGACTTATTGGTCTCGAAGAAAAACTTAGTCCTGAATCAAAATTGCAATAGAGTGATAAGTAATAATACAATTTATAGCGACACAACGAAAGAATTTCAATAAAGGAAATAACCACTGTCGGGAAATTTTAGTAATTCACTTAATTGACTACTTGAACTTTCACCATGTTGATGGTGAGGGTTCGATTTTCCATCTTGAAATCTCCTCCCAATTTCTCATTTTACCTGTACTTGATTCAGAAGTGACCGGTCTGGATCGGTGGAGAAGAAACGGAATTCTTCCGAATAAATGGAAAACAGAAGTATTGATGAGAAATGGGTTTAGGGTTTACTAAGCAGATCCTCCAAGAAAACTAAAATTTCTCGTCAATGAACTGTAAACTCGGATTGATTCTTGCCTTAATCATGATTAACCAAGTTATTACTTGAATTGAACACACTTATCATAATTTAATATTAATGACCGAGATCTAATTGTTTCTTGCCTTAATCATGATTGGAATAATCTGTTCCTCCCCTACATTCCATCAGTTCATTTTTACTTGTTACTTTTAACATATCAAAAAAAGTGTCACACCCTGAGCCTAGACCCTAGGCGGGACCGGCACTCGATGCCATTGCTAGTTCGAGCATACCCATAACATAGCACTAAACATGAGCAGAAACATAGTTTAAAAACATTCGAAGAGACAAGTCTCGTAAAAGAAACACTTTTCATAATGCAAGTTATAGTACTGAAATTACTAACAAGGACACGAAGGTCCAAACTAAAGCATAACTAACTGTCTATCTATAAGGCCTCTAAACATAATTGAGTAATATCTACGTGTACAAGGCCCCTGGCATACCTTAAACACATAATCATAAAGTACTAGAAAACTATAAACTAAGCCCCTAGAAACATAGAGGAGATCACCAATAGCAAAAGATATAGGACCTAAAGATGTTACCTTTGAATTCAAAATTCTTGGATATCTCTTCAACATTGTTGCATCCTGTTTCTTGTTGAAGATACCTGCATATTCTGTCACACTGCCTCAAATCAAAGATGGAAACCTCAAATTCCATGTCTCCTTCATGTTTGAAAATCAACAAATCTCCCAAATTGCAAATCATTCTCCTTAGCGAACTTTTTCCAACCCTCTTCTAATCGCCAACCGTTCACCTTCACCAACCACGTTTTACCTGCCCTTCCCAGTATTGCATGTTCATATTGATCGTGTCCCTTCAGATACTTTAAGAAACCTATAGGAATTTTCTGCAGTACAATGCAAACTTAACAACAACATACCCAACGTAGGGGTCTAAGGAATGTAGAGTGTACGCAGCAGACCTTATGTCTACATTGGAGGTAGAGAGGTTGTTTCAATATAACACAAAGTCACAAACTTGCCCCAAATAAACACTAGAAAAAGATACAAAAGAATGTCTTGCTTTCCTTTTTAGTCCATTTAAAAAAGAATTCTATGTTTCCCAATTAACAACTCTTCAAAGACGAGTAAAGAATTACAGAGATCTTGATCTCTTAATGGAGATATAAAATCACGATAATTTTAGTCTTTGAAATACAAATGGTAAGACATACACAGAAAAAACACATGAATCTATTTCTTTAGAAATAAAACAAAATTTACCTGTGTTGGAACAACAATACTTCAAATTCCAACATAAATCAAGTGCCACGACCAAACAAAGCACACAATTCTATTTCTTTCGAAAACAATGCTTAGAGAAAGACAAGATATATTTCAAAAATTCATAACAAATTCTGAAGCAATGCCGTAGTATATATAGCTATCAAATAAGTATTGACTTATTGTGATGAAAAGGTGTAACCATTCCAACAATTAATCAATCAATCAGATAATCCAACTCCGAATTCAAGCTGAGCGATGACAAAATGTTTGCCTTCTTCCCAACTCATTAAGTTACAGAGAAGTTCTTTTCTATTTATTCCAAACTAATTCTTCTCCTTCCTCCGGTATGGAACAACATCTCTTCATTTCTCATTCACAGATCTAAAGGCTACCATAATCTAATTACTATCATGCATGAAAAGGATACTTTGAAAACAAAAGTACAACACATGCTAATTTCTTTGCCCATCATCAAATGCTTCATATCATCTACAATGACTTCTGTGTTGCTTGGCAATTGGCATCTTTAATTCCCAGAATATTTACCTACAATTTTCAAAACAAAACATAGACTCAGTTCTTAGACTGAATTGTACAAAGCTTTACTTACATAACCATATAAGTCTAAGGTAGACCTTTTATATGGAAAATTTGGTAAGCAATTGTTTGGACATTTGATACAACATGATACAATATTAACACAAAATAAAAATCGTTTTTTTTGTACACAATACAGGGACTTGCACTCTCACACAGAGCACAAATTCACACACTGACTATCAGAAATAGAATTACTTCAACAGTCTCCATTTACTCTCTAACCAATCAAGGTCAGCTAAAAATTTGACCATTAACAGTACAATCAATACAATTTGAAGCCTTCAAAATTGTGTTAAATGACATTCAAAAATCTCAGTAAAAATTGCTTTTGGTTTCACAATAACTCCCATATTCTAATAACAAAAGGGACAAAAAGGAAAAATAACAACATATCACACAGGATAGTCATGAAACTAAAGAGAAATAAAGCAATACTCGTATGAATTATAGGTATTGTGCCATTGTTGGTGAGTTCAAACTTGTAAGTATCTCCTTCTTGAAAACCATTTGCTTTTCTGAACTGTGGCCATCCCCTTTTAATTCCAAAGTGGTTTTCCATTTGCCCAAGCCACACTGACCATGATCTCTGCTTTTCATCGACAAGAATCATCTCACATCTACTCATCAAGCCATTTGATTTCACAAAACGCATCGGAAAATACTGCTCAAATTTATCCCAATATATAGATCAATACGCCGTTATCACAACAAAAAGAAAAAATTAGCAAAGGTTTTTACTAAATTTGTTCAGACCACTCTTACCAAAATAGCTTTTGTGAAGGTGTAACGTTTGATAGTGGATATAAAATGAGGGTTGGCAGCAGCAGATGTTGAAGCTGGTGTTTGCGATATCGGAGTAGTCATGTCCAACGTCTTATGCCTAAGATATGTTATTGTTTTGAAGTAACCAAGAAAAGAAGAAAAAAGAAACATCACAATCATTATGCACATGATATTTGCAATATTAATGTAGCTCTTTCTTTACTTGGTTTGCTCATAAAAGTAAATATACCAATACTTATATCACATAGATTTTTATTCAATACTTCTCAAGTCTTTGCTGAAGCATACCAGAGAAATTTAGTCAGCAAATTAGACTTGAATAGACAACATATATGCTGAAATTTCTCTAGCAGTGCCAACAAAAGGTTTAACTCCAATTTCAACCATGTTCCTCTTAGGGTGTCGGAAAGGCCATCAAAATAGAATACATAACAAGCTTGAGTCCCTAGTTAAAAGCATTGTATTTCATGCTCTTTAAGCAACATGTTTAAACAGTTACAAAAACTGACGGTCTAGAAAGAACTTACCGATGACCATCTTAACTAACCAAAACACACACATTCACCGCAAAGGTCTTCTACAGAACTAGTTTATGCATCTCTATTACACTCATTTCAAGAAAAAATACTTTTATGATACTATTTGACAAATATTGTTTAATCCACATGAATTTTCTTTGAAGGTTTTAAATAAAAAAAATATGAAATTTTATCCAAATGGAGACTGCAACAGCTGGCCTTTAATTTAGAGGTCTCAATACATAAACATGAGCCAAGGGCAGCACTTTGTTATAAGAAGTAAAATGCAACTAAAAAGAAAGTACAATATTAAAATTTTCAACTGTTTGGTCGGGTAAATTTTTAACAGCGTAGTTATTTGTGAAGAACATGTTTTACAGTTTGGAGAACCAACACCAAATTATTTGGTCGAAGATGCCATATAGTCTCATAGTGTACATATCAAAGTAAAAAGATCGTTGACAAAAAGACAGATGTTGCTTAAACTTACAGTGAAATTTCCATATAGGTTTTTCTCCATTAGCAACGACCTCAAACATCATATAATCTCCCTCCTTCAAGTTATTCACAGCGCAGAAGTCACTCCATCCACCAAATACACGGACACTTGAATCATAGGTAACAAGCCTTAAATTCCACGATCTTTGTCTTTCGTCTCTGATAATCAGACCACATTTCTTGTTGAAGAGACCGTTTTCCATTGCAAATTGTTTAGGAAGGCGCTGAAATGATTTATAACAATTTGCATATATGATATGCTTCATACTTTGCTGTAAATAACTCCAATAAACAGACGAGGGAAAAGACAAAATGGTGCAAATGTTTCCCTTTAGCCTGAAATTTCTTGAAGTGTTATCGGGAAATGAGTTTTGAGACTTACCAAGAAACCCTTTGAAACGGAATATGGTCTAACAATGCACTCAAAATGAGATTGACCCCACGAGCTGTGAGTAGCAGCTTCTGCACAGAGTTAAGATTAAGGGACCTAAAGATGTTAATCTAAACAACCACCCCAGATTAAGATATTAATCTAAACTATTTGAAACTTATGTTAAGATTAAGGGACTCTAAAGATGTTACCTTTTTCCACTTTCTTCGAAGTCTCTTCAACATTATTGCCCTCTTCTTCCTGCAGATACTCTGCATACTCTGTCGCAATGACTTGAACAAAGATGGAAACTTCAAATTCCATGTCTCCTTCATGTTTGAAAATCAACAAATCTCCCAATCGCAAATCATTCTCCTTAGCAAACTTTCCCCAACCCTCTTCTAATCGCCAGCCGTTCACCTTCACCAGCCACTTTTTACCTCTACTTCTCAGTATTGCATGTTTAATATGGTTGAGTCCCTTTAAATACTTCAAGAAACCTATAGGGATTTTCTGCCAGTACAACACAAACTAGCCCCAATTAAAAAAACTAAATCTTTCAAATTTTACTGGGATAAATTCTTCCACCTCCACATCATCATACATGCAACATATACTACATCTACACTTTTCTTTTTAGTTCATCCAAAAAGAATGCCACCTTTCTATAATTAGAAAAAAAATTACTTTAAACTTTCCCCTTTCAAAAATCGTACTTTACTTTCTTAAACTTTGTATCTAAGTCAAAATATGTCAGATAAATTGGGACCAAACCGAGTAGTAAACAAAGGAAAGATGATTTTTTTTTTTGAAAAGGATAACTCACAATACCATGCTTGTAACCTGGCTGAATTGGTTTGAAAAAATGAGGTTTCTTTGAAGCTATTTTCATGGCAGTCAACAAAAATTCCCTTCCTGTTTGCAAAATCAAAATTACAGTAGATTGGTAAGTAGTAATTCAATTTATACAGACACAACATGAAAAAAAAAAAAAATCAAGTAAAGAAAATACCAGATAGTCGGAAAATCTTAGTAGCTCAGTTGATTAACTCTCCTAATCTCCTCTCCATTTCGAGGTTTAGGGTTTATTAAGCGGATCCTCCAAAAAAAACTGTAAAATTTTTCGTCGATCAACTGTAAACTCGGATTCTGCTCCTCCTCCATGGCTCCATTTTTTTTTTCTTCTTTCCATTTTCGTCGAGTTATTGCTTGAATTAATTAAATAATACATAACGTAGTTTTAATATTAATAACTGAGATTTAATTAATTAAAATAGAATCTTAATCATGATTAGAATTATCAATTCCTTCCATATATTTACAATCCCAAAATTTTTGGCTTTATAATAAAAAAAATTCTAAATATATTAAAAACTTCTTTTTTTCTACCATGATTAGATTGTTTATGTTTATTGGACAGATCAAGTGGATAATTATACTTTACCCGTTTGGCTTATTGAATATCAATTTTTAAATATACTGATCAGCCAACCAATAAACTATCAATTGGTTAAACATCGGATTAGTAATTAAATTACCGGCGGTGTATTGACTCAATCATTTTATGCTCCTTTTTTTTTACTTTCATTCACCAATAGTCTGCATCCACGTAAGCATTTATTTAACAAATATACTTACTATAGAAATGTAACTACAATTTTATATTAACTCTTAACTGGTTAATGGTTTACTCAATAAGAAAGTTGAGTAATTCTTCTCCACAAATAATATATTAACTTGTTCTCCAACCGTTAGTCCGATAACTTAATACCAATAAGTGAATAAACTATTTTTTGTGGTTGGCTTATCCATTATGTTTCGATTTTGAACAACCCTAGAACTAGAAGGAAGTATAAAACAATTTGATTGCAGCAAATTATCAAAAAGATACTCTTTTTGAAACAAACGAACAAATTGAAATGAAGTAGGACAAACAAATTGAAACGGGAAGAGAGCAATAATCATGCATTAGAGGATACTTCAAAATAGAAGTAGAACATATCATACAACTTATCAAAGTTATTTTTTTTAAGATATAGCAAAATGTAGTAGATCCAAAAACATTATATCCACTTGCTTTAGTGCCTAGTTTTCTTTCCCATCACCAACTGTTTCATATTTACCTACAAATGATGCAAATAAAAACATAGCCTCAGTACAGAATCTAAATTTTGGAGACTAAATTGTATAATCATGGGGAAAAAAATCATATATATCAATTGTTATACATTATGAAACATCAATATATAAAAACATCAAAGTCATGAAACTAAAAGAAGATTCAAAAAATACTTACAATGGAAATGAACTATAGGTATTTTGCCATTGTTGATGAGTTCAAACTTGTAAGTTTCTCCTACTTGAACACTGTTGGCTTGTATGAACTTTCGCCATCCCTTTTTAATTCCAAAGTGCTGCTTGTCAATTTGCCCAAGGCACATTGACCATGATCTCCGTTTTTCATCCATGATAATCAACTCGCGTTTATCCAGCAAGCCATTTGATTTTGCAAAAGCGATTGGAAGATACTGCTCAAATTTATCCCAAATATATAGATTAATACCGCATTATCACTAAAAGAAAGAAGAAAATTAGCTAAGGTAGTTGTTACTAAATTTGTTAAAATCACTCTTACCAAAACAGGAAATCTGAGGGTGTAAGGTTTAATAGTAGATATAAAATGAGGGTTGGCATCAGCAGCTTCTTGTGATTTAGGGGTTCTCACGTCCGAGGTCTCAAGCATAGCATCTGTTATTGCTTTAAAGTGACCAAGAAAAGAAGAAACATTACAATCATAAATGTAACGAAAAGACGAGGATATTTGACATAACTAGAAAGGTTCTTTCCAAACCTTTATCTGACATTCTTTCAGCATCCAAATCTTTCTTCTTTACTTCAGCCTGAAGAAACGGGCTTTCTCTCAAATCTAGTTATGTTAATTAAAACAACAACATCAGTACTGAAACTGAAGATGAATTTAAAACCAAAAAAAAAAGAAAAAAGAAGATCAAGTCGAAACAGAAAGGAACTATTATCTGTTGGGCATATACAGTCATACAGATAGTACCTTTTCTGATATTACTAGATGAAGTGATTAATAGCAACATACTTTTGAGGAGTACCAAGGTTAGCTCAAAGGGGTTTCTACCACACACTCAAAAGCTTCTCACAGTAACAGTAATTTTCAAAAGTAGAAAAAGCAGTGCAATATTATTTACGTGTACATTGCTTCTAAGCAATATACTTCCTTCACATTCTTCAAATAAGAGAAGTCTCTAGACAGTAAGAATTTGTCCTCTGTTGAACCACGGGAATTGAACATTTGTAGGACTTCATAAGAATTTGAGAAATATGTAAAGATAAAGTAATAAGATCCACAACAGAATGCTATACCGAACAAGCAAGGGATAATGTACGACCACGGCAACAAAATGGAATCGATTAGAAGATGGCAGAATCCTAGAGCTAAAAAATGGCAAATGCAGATCTATGTTGAACAGAATATCAATCAAGGTCAGTTAACAGAACATGTGTTGACCAAAAAATTCAGAGGATCAGTGACAAAGACAAAGTAAGAGTAGATGAAGCACACACAAAAAGACCCCTCGAGGCCCCTAACACCTCTCTAGTTGCTTCCCTGATGCAGCCAACTGCTCTACCCCACATATTATTTGCGTCCCCACAACTCCCCCAACCCCTCATAGACACCAACTTCTCCCTAATCTCCTGAGATTTGGCCTCTATAAGGCCTCCCCATCTAATCCTTAATCGGTCATATGCGACCCTCTTCTTCTTTCTCTTGGTCTTTCTAATGTGTGTCTAGCAATTATAATTCAAACCATAGAGATTGTGAACATACAAAAGTTAATAACTAGATAGTATCCTTGTAACTATAATTTCATCTCATCGTAATTAATTTAAATAAGTAAACAGTAGAAAACTGGATGAGATAATTTTAAGATAAGGTTTTAGATGAGAAACTTGCCATGAAATCTGAAGATAGGTGTTTCTCCATTGGAAACTATCTCAAACATTAAGATATCTCCTTCCTCAAAGCATTTTGTACGGCAAAATTCATGCCATCCACTTCCAATGAAGGTGTTTTTGCCGCTTGTATGCACACCTAACGTCCATGATCGTTGCTCATCCCTTACAATTATCTCACATCTCCTGTCGATGAGTCTGTTTTCTTGTGCAAATTGTTTTGGAATACACTGAAACAGTTTATAAGCAGTCACAAATAAACAATCAATATGTATGTTTGTTTTAATCTTCCAAGTTGTCAAACAGATAATTGTTCTCATAAGCTTATGTAGGAAACAAATTCATCTTTTTCCGGTTTTTTTTTCAGCATAATAGTAAAAGTATAATGTACTTGTGAAATTACCAGACAATACTTTGAAAGGCAATATGGTCTAATTGTACAAATGAAATGAGAGCGACTGAGATGCATGTCCTTATAAGCAGCTTTTACATTGGAGAAACCCTTGCCTGATTTCTTGATGTTGGGCTTTGGTTTTTCTGTTGCATTTGTTATTACACACAAAGTCATGTCAGAAAAGAATATATATAAAAAAAGGAAGTTACACATTTGACTGCTCGGCCAATAATATTTCTATTTTGTTTTGGACGAACAACTACTTAAGTTAATTTCTCAAAAATAAAACTCCACCAACAAAATTACAAAACAATAGCGTCAATGAGATATATCATGTCTTAGAGGCTATCTTTCAGTTAAATGCAAATATTTGTCATATCCCATGGAGTTGAAATAAACTACTCCCTCTGTCCCAATATAAGTGAAAGGGCTCGGAGTACGAGGATCAATACACCTAATTTTGGGTGTGAATTAGAGCATACATTCTCTATGTTCTTTTATTAAGTAAATTTACACATTTGAAAGATACATGAAAAGTACTATAGTCATAAATTTATGTGTTACTTCGCCTTCTAATGTCAAGTCCTCAAGGAGTATGGTGTGGTGCTGCGGGTGAGATTCCTCCACCTTTAACCAGATGTCTCAAGTTTGAGTCTTGTGAATAGAGAAAAACTTTGCGAGGAAGTGTTTCTCTCTTTAATGGCCCATACTAGATCTGGATTTATTTTAATCTTTTCATCTCACTTTCCTATTTCTATTTTAGTTTTTCTAAATGAAGTAAGCATCATCAAAATTGTTCCTCGTATTCATATCGGCAATGGCATTATTACTATTTATATATACTTTGCATCAAAATAAGAAAATAATTAATTTCCATATAGGAAACAAATAACAGAACAAAAGAAGTTCACCTTTGAATTCCAATTTCTTGGAAGACTCTTCAACAATACACACTTTTTCTTCTTCTCTTCCATGAACTCCTTGTTCATATTCTCTCTCACAACAACTTGAATCAAAGACGGCGACCTCAAATTCCATGTCTCCTTCATGTCTGAATATCAAAATATTTCCCAATTGTAAATCATGGTCCTTTACAAACTCTTCCCAACCATCTTCCAGTCGCCGGCCATTCACCTTCACGGACCACTTCTTACTTGCCCGTCTTAGCAATGCATATTCATTCGTCTGTCCCTTCAAATACTTGAAGAAACCTACAGGAATTGTCTGTAATACAACAATTTGTATAATTAAAATGGCCTTGTCCAATCATTATCAATTTCAACACACAATGCAAATAAGCATGTGAACATTCCTAAAATGTCAACAACAACATACCCAGTAAAATCCCACAAGTGAGGTCTGGGGAGGGTACGTAGACTGTACACAGACCTTACCACTACCTTATGAAGGTCGAGAGGTTGTTTCCAAAAAACCATGTTACACTAAAATATCGACAAATATTAAATTCGTAATCCAAGATTTTGAAAGTGTATTGATCAAGGTTGACCCTACCAAGTTTAAACCCTGGATCATTCTACAATGCTAATACTATTTTCTTAGAGGTGTCAAATAGACAGGTTGAACTAAATTTTAGCAATAAACAAGGAATCTTAACTCAACTCTCGCAACACTTACCAACTTTTTTTCTCTATAACGACTATGATCAACATATCAAACAAAAAAAAAGGATTTTTTAAGGGAAAACTACTTGATAAAAGCAAACACATGCACTATGAGCCTCATCATGATACAACGTCTCAACCAATCTGTCAAAACTTTCTTATACCTTACCAGGTATAAAACAAACTCAACTCATGGATCCACTATAAAGTCAGTGAGGAGTCGTATTTACATGAAATAGCAAGAGTTTAAATAAATTACAACACAAAACAAGAGTTTAAGTATCGATTTGCTATGTATCAGTATCAACACATACAAGTATTTTCACCCAAATAATCAATAAAACTGTGATAAACTCCCTCACACATGCAGCAGACCCAAAAAAAAAAAATTGAAGGAAAAATTGAAAGTATTTCTTACAATTTGTTGCTTAAAACCTGGCAAAATAGGTTTTAAAAAATGAGGTTTTCTTGGAGGGATTTTCATGTAAAGAAGTTGAAAAGTTACAAAAGGAATGGAAAACCCTGCATTCAAATCAGGTACTTTCTCCGGTTCATATTATTGCTCTTTGGGAATTATGTTTAAACCTTTTTTTTTTTCCTTATTTATATTTTCTAGGTGATAAGTTTAAGAAATTTATTAGTTATATTTATGATTTTACTTTAAATTATTTTTATTTACAAAAATAGTTTGACAATAACTAAAAAAGGGTAACAGTGGAAACTGATGTTTAATTTATGTCATAATATTTTTTTTCCTTAATAGATGTGCATTATTTTACAAATTCTTAATATGGAACTGAGCGAGTAACTATGAATTTAAATTATAATTGTTTTGGGAAAATGTACAAGTACTCCCCTAGATTATGACCGAAATTCCAGAGACATACCTTAACTAAACTAAGGTCCTATTACCCCCATGAACCCATTTTTTTTTGTAAATTTGTGTACCTTTTTGACTTACAATTTGTTCTAAATTATGATTTCAAACTTTTTAAAATGTAAAATTTTGACCTATAAATTTATATTTCATAAAAAAAAACATAATTTTAAACTTTATTAACAAAAAAAAGACTCATTCTCGAAGTAAAGAAATTGTTAGTATCATATGAGAGGATTTTATCGAACAATGGCTAGTTACTACTATTGGTAATTCATTACACTAGTGAATCTTTGTAATTTATTGATACATTGTGTTAGAATATTTGAATATTTTATTTATGAATTATAATTGCTCATTTGGTAACATAGTATGAGAATAAGGAAAATTTTGATAGATTTTCACAAATTATGAGAGTTTTATGTTTATAAAAAAAATACAATTTAATTATGAAATAATTATATATCCAAACAATAAAATTAACCTAACTTCAAATGATGTCCAAACGGGTCTTTTAGCTAAATCAACCTTAATTAATGATATTATAGAAAATTGTTCAAATGCCTTTTTAGATAGGTAAAGGGAAAATGCATAAGTACCCCCAACCTATGCCTGAAATCCCAGAGACACACTTATACTATATTAAGGACCTATTACCCTCGAACTTATTTTATAAATAATTTTCTACCCTTTTCGGCCTACGTGGCACTATCAACCAGATAACTTGAAAAAATAGTCAACACGCGCTGGATCCCAAAAGATAGTGCCACATAGGCCGAAAAGGAGTAGAAAATAAGTTAGGGGGTAATAGAACCTTAGTATAGTATAAGTGTGTCTCTGAAATTTCGGGCATAGGTTGGAGGTATATATGCATTTTCTCGATAGGTAAATAAGGACAAATCTAAAAAATAAATTTAATTATTTTCTGATTATGTAAATACACTTATTATGAGCTTGAGTTGGTTAAAATGCAACTTACAAGATCACTGAATACAACTTATTAAAATTTGAAGTAAAATGTACATGTCAGGTAATCAAATGAAGGGTAATTGAAGAACATTAAATCTAAGGTACATCTTGGACCTCGAACTTTGGTTTAGTGGTAAGAGCACAACATGTGATTTATGGGTTTAGTGCACGATACAGGTTCAAAATCCATTATTCACCGAGCTTTGAACCATGTACCATTGGACCTCGAGGATTTCTCCGTTACGAAAAAAAATCTGAAGGTACATTATCTGTTGAGATTAGAGCAACATGTAGTATATCCAAAGCATCACCTTCAATGCTCCTTTCCCTTGCCCATCACCAACTGCTTCACTAACTTGTCAAGGGCTTTGCTTGGCATCCTTTCCAGAATGTATACCTGAAAAAATTCTTCTAAGATTACATAGACTCTCTTTGCAATAGATCTAGTTTCGTAGACTTGATTCCATAAAACCAACAACAACGTACCCAATGTAATCCCACAAGTGGTCAGGAGAGAGCAGAATGTGCGTAGACCTTACCCCTATCTTGGGAATCTTGGGAGGTAGAGAGGTAGTTTCCGATAGACCCTTGGCTCAAGGAGTCTGATAATAGAAGTGAAGCTAGATTTTCTTTGTGTGTATGTGTATGTCGGGGGAGGGACCTTGTAGGGCATTTGAACAATTGGCCTTTTTTGACAATACATGCAGACTATATAAAACCTTCCACAGACGATTAATATCAAAGTAAAGTTGTAGGACAAATTTTAAAACTTCATCACTCTTTCAAAGTGTGTCATAATTTTCATATGAAAGGAATTTAAAAGCGCGATGCATTGCACGGAGGAAGATCATGAAAATAGGTATATAATTAACCCCACATAGTGTTTACACCAAATCAAGATATTTAACTTTAGCACCTAAAAGTTAAAGTAACCATGGTTTGAGTGATGAATGTGTGTATGAACAATGTTTGTCATGCATTTATTGATTTTGTGTAAACATTATACATTGGGTGCGGGTAAATTGATATCATGAAAAATAAAGGGAAGTAATGAAATACTCACGATGGAAATAGGCTGCAGGTATTTTTTCATTGTTGATGAGTTCAAATCTATAGATATCTCCTACTTGGACATCATTTGCTTCTTTGAACTTTTGCCATCCAATGTGAATTCCGATGTGATCATCTGACACTGGCCCTAGTCGAACTGGCCACGATCTCTGTTGTTCATCCATGAGAATCATCTCAAAACGTCTATTCATCCAGCCATTTGATTTTGCAAAAGCCAATGGAATATACTGCTCAAGTTTAATCCCATTGCATAAATCAATATCATGTCATCACAAAAAAAGAGAAACTCTTAATGAAGATCTTAACTAAATTGATTCAAATTAACATACCAGAAAATGTTTGAAGATGGAATAAGGCTTAATAATTGAAATAAAATGCGGGTTAGCATCAGTAGCAGATGTTGAAGCAGGTAGTGCTTTCGGAGCAGTCACGTATGAGGTCTTAATCTTAACGCCTGCTGCTACTCTCAAAATACAAGGAAAGATAGAATCAGAGAAATGAAAAGAAAAAAAAATGTATTAGATACAACAACAAAAGGTCTTGCTCTTGGAATCCATACCTTCTGTGGAAACACTTTTAGCGTCCAAATTGATCATCTTTCCTTCGGGCTGAGGTGATGCACTTCCTTTCATATCTAGTTTTTAAATTGACACAACAATGTTAGAATGAAACAGAACATGAATATTTAAGACCAAAAAATAAACATTGAGAAAAGTAAATCTTTTTGAGGGGAAAAGAAGAGATGAAAAGAATTTGATAAGAGCTAATTCAACTTTCAGAAACATAGAGCTTCTTTTCGGGACTGGGGAAGGTCAACTGTAGCTGAAAAAAGGAAAATCCTATCTCATAATATACTACTCGGTAAATTTCTTTAATAAAAACGATATTGTAAGTTGCTCAAAAAATCTTCTACAAAACTCGAAAGCTTTTTCAGCAACTGGTACTCTCAAGAAAACAGGAAAGGCCTGCTTAAATACTTTTACTTAAAGCATTCACTAAAAATCATCTAAATAAGACTCTTCATAAATAAGAACCTTCCAATATGAGCCCGGATTTTGTTGAACTTGAGAAAACATAAATGATATAATAACAAATGAACAAACATGGTGCGGTCCTGTTTCACCAAGACACTATTTTTCACTAACAAAATTTGTTTCCGGTATTTTGAAATCCAAGACATAGAAACTATGAGGTAACAACAAATAGAAAGAGAATCTTTAATCACTAGTAAGGATCCTTATTAAAAAAAAGTGAAGTATGATGTTATTGTATTTATGATTTAAAGGAAGAAACAGGTAAGCAAAAAGAGAGGAAAACAGAATTTTTTAAAAGGGATTAGATGAGAAATTTGCCGTGAAACTTCAATATTGGCTTCTCTCCATTGTCGAGTATCTCAAACATTAAGTAATCTCCTTCCTTTAAGCAATTCACAACGCAGAACTTGTGCCATCCGCCAACAATGGTGGTGTTTACCCCACGGGCATATAGCTTAAATGTCCATGACCGGTGCTTGTCTCTTATTGTTATCGTACATGTCCTGTTTTTGAGACCGTTTAACCGTGCAAATGAGACTGGAACTCGCTGAAACAGCTTACAATCAGTTTCACAAAAACGAGATCATATGTATGCTTCACACTCTGAAAAATTTTCTCATAACGAAATGAGCTCTCTATTTTTCCTTTTTTCTATTTTTAACAATGGAAGAAAAATTTAGTTTCGACAACTTACCAGAGAACACTTCGAAAGGAAATATGATTTCATGGTACAAACAAAATGAGGGTGAGAGAGAGGAATGTCTTTTGCAGCTTCTATGTTGCGAAAAGCCTCGTGTGATGACATGATGTTGTGCTTTGATTTTTCTGTTACATTTGCTAATTACACAGTCATGTCAGAAATATTAATCAAACGGATACTTACAAACATGAACAATAGAACATTTGAATAGTTAATTGTAAAGAAAAACATGACAATAAATTAATTATGACAAAAAGATTACAATTAAAGTATGAATAGCATCTAAGCATGCACTTCATCATTTGGCTAATTGATTCAAAAAAAGAAGTATTTTTGATAAAGAAAAAAAAAAAAACTTTAGAGATGCAGTTTAGTCCTCAACCTTTACGCAGATATATTGATGACATGAGTGGAGTAGTAGTTTATGATCTTCTAAAGGAAATAAGATTTTTAAAATAGTAGTTCTACAATTTGAAACTTATGCTAAGACCTAATTTAACATAGTATAGCTTGAAGGGGTGAATTCATAGAATCATGAACTATTCATTTTGAGCTAGCTTTCAGACCCAAAACCTAATTTAACACCAATTTAACTAGCAAATTCATCAAGTATAAACTAATGTACTCTAAAAAATCTTACCTTTAAACTCAAATTTCTTCGAAATTTCCTCAACAGTCCGGGCTCTTCCTCCTCCTTCTTCCTGCAGATACTCTGCATATTCTCTATCACAATGACTTGAATCAAATACAGAAACCTCAAATTCCATATTTCCTTCATGTCTAAACACCAATAAATCTCCCAATTGCAAATCATTCTCCTCCACAAATTTTCCCCAATTACCCTCTTCAAATCGATGTTCATTCAGCTTAATCCGCCATTTCTTACCACCTCTTTTCAGTACAGCACGTTTAATATGCTCGTATCCCTTCAGATACTTCAAAAAACCTATAGGAATTTTCTACAAAATCATGTATAATTAGGGTTTCATTGTCCCAAAATGACATGAAATAGTTGAAAGTATTAGTAGTACTAAAATACTTACAATTCCATTTTTGAAGCCTGGAAGAATTGGTTTGAAAAAGTGAGGTTTCTTTGACGGTATTTTCATGGAGGTTCAAGAAAGGTAAATTACTGTACAGAAAAAGTGTTCACTTGAACAAGGTGATTGGTTGTAATGAAAATGTTTCTCTAGGAACATATTTCCTTTTTTAAGTTATTTTTTTAAAAAAATATAACGTAGACGGAAAGGGTAATGTTCTTTTATAAACTCTTGAACGAAAAAAGGAATAGAGATATGTTAGGGATTTGGAGCATTAAAAGAGGCGTTATGATTTTGATTATTGTAAGTATATAAAGGTTGATGAGATTAAATATGTTATTTGTACGTTGCTCAGGAAAATAGTGATCACGTCAAATTAGATTCCGATGGAATTTCGAGAAAGCGTAAGCTGATAATTTGGTGATATGCCTATGTATTACAAGTAGCACAAGTATGAAGTGGATAACTAGATTGTTTAATGTCGTTTTTAAGATAGTGAAATTGTCTAAAGAATGGAGGTGGAGTACAATGATTTATTGGACATGAACAAAGTGATATTCGGAGTTTCCAACAACTAAGGGTAACAAGCTGCTAAGACACTTGATTTGAATGATGAAAACATAAACTATTACTTCTTTCATTTTAATTTGTTTGTCTAATTTGACTTGATACAGATTTAAAGAAAGTAAAAAAAAACTTTTGAATATTGTGATCTAAAACTAATGATACCTAGAATGTACTAATATCCTATTAACTTTGTAGTCTTAAATATGTATGTGGAAAGTTTGAATTAATGAGATGTCAAAAAGGAAAATAAAATACTAAAATGAAAAATACGACAAACAAATTGAAACGAAGGGAGTACAAAAAGAATGAGAAGTTATAATGTCAAATCTCTCAACAACAAAAAAAAAAAAAAAAAAAAAAACTAGCCATCCATATCCACTCTTACATGGATAGGATACTCCATAATTCATCTCTTCTTTTTCTTCTGGTGTCATGATATAAACCAAAAGTGTGACTTAATCTTAAGAGTTAATAATGCTAAAAGCATAATACAAAAACATGTTTGGCTTTTAAAGAACAAAAATCAAAGTACATTTTCTTTAGATTAGCCAACATGCAGTAAATCCAAAAAAAAAAAAAAAAAACCATCATATTCTTCAGTGCTCTTTGTGGTTTCTCTCATGCTTTTCATCCTTCACAGCATATTTACCTGCAAAAATATATTTTTAGCAGAACATAAGACTCTCTTTGCCATCAATCTAAGCTACATATTCATTTTCAGATATATAAAATCTTTCGAGATTCGTTCAATATCAGAAGAAACACATTTTCAAAAATCTCATTTTCATTTCGCAACCACAGGGAAAGTCGTTTATCATGAAACAAAGGGAAGTAAAGAAGTAACTCACAAGGGAAATACACTCTACACGCAATGTTCTGTTGTCAATGAGTTCAAACTTGTAAGTATCTCCAACTTGGACACCATTTGCTTTCATGAACTTTTGAAATCCCTTGGTAATTACAAAGCGATCCACCCTTTGACTTAGCTGAACTGGCCATGATCTCTGTTTCTCATCTGTGAGAATCATCTTACGTCGATCCATCAAGCCAGTTGATTTTATAAAAGCCATTGGAAGACACTGCTCAAGTTTATCCCAGTATGTGTATCAATACAAAAAAAAGAAAAGTTACTACCGAAAATCTTAACTATTAAGGAGTCGTTTGGTAGCTGGTTAGAATCATGCATGTATTAGTTATGTCATCTTCTATACCCCGCATAAGATAATACACAATTTTTGTCATAATACATGTTAGTTATGCTGGTTTCTAAATTGCAAACCATGTCATATGATTTTATACAGGAATAATTTACCTTCTAACTAGCCACCAAATGTTGTGTAACTCATGCAGACATGAATACATGAATAAGTTGTCTCTTTACTAGCTACCAAACGACACTAAAGGCTTAATAAAAGTTAATTTGAATTGCTCACCAAATAGGACCCGCTGATGGTATAAGACTTGATAGTAGCAATAAAATGAGGGCAAGTGTTAGCAGAAGTTGGAGCAGGTACTTGTGCTTTTGGAGCAGGCATATCCGAGGTCTCAATCTCGAGGCCTGTTCTTCATTCAAAAAAGATACATGAAAAAGAAATACGACTTTTTTGTTGCGACTAAAGTCACCGAAGAAACTACCAGAAGAAGTCACATTATCAAGGGTCTGCTCTTGTAATCCAAACCTTGAGTGGAAACTCTTTTAACATCCAAATTAGGCTTCTTTTGTTCGCACTGAAGTGATGCATTTGCTCTCAAATCTAATTTTCAAATTGAAAAACATTATTAACTGAATCCAAAAATGATTTTGAATCCAAAAATAGAACATTAAATTGAAGTAGAAAAACTATAAGGATGCAAGGGAAGAAAGAAAAAAACATGTCAGTTCACTCATCACTGTCACTATGATTTATAAGAAAGAAGTAGATAAATCAAGGAAAAAATTGGATGAAATATAAGAGAAAGGGGCTTAGATGAGAAACTTGCCGTGAAATTTCAATACAAGTCCCTCTTCCTTGGAAAACATCTCAAACATTACGCGATCTCCTTCCTTTAAGAAATTAGCAGCGCAAAATTCATGCCATATGCCTCCAATTGAAATGTTGCATGCATTAATATACAGCTTAAACATCCATGACCTTTGCTGCTCATCTCTTATCGTTACCGTACAGTTCCTGTCGAGGCCATTTTCCCGTGCAAATAGTGTTGGAACACGCTGAAACAGTTCACAACCAGTTGCATGTAAATAGCTCATACTTATGCTTCAACACTTCCAAATTATTAAGAAACAAATACTTAGTTCTCATAACGAAATGTGTTCATCTTCTTCTTTTTTTAATAGTAACAACAAAAATAGAATCAAATTTTCAACTTACCAGCAAATACTTTGAAATGCAACTGCGCGTGATGGTATAAATGAAATGAGGGCGAGACCGAGGCATGTCCTTAGCAGCTTCTACATCAGGTAAATCCTTGTTTGATGACATGACATAAGGCTTTGGCTTTTTCGTAGCATTTTCTAATTACACAAAAAGTCGTGTCAATATTTGAAAAAAGCACTTTATGAACAAAAGAACATATCAATAGTTCAACAAGATAGAACCTTTCTGAAGATAACTTTCCTACTTTAAGTCTAAGAAGTTGATTAATCTACTAATTTCACATATCAGTTTGGTCTTACTAAGATCAAATGAACGTAATATAATTGTAACGTTGATTCTCATTCACATGTTAGCATCATGTGTTGCTGTATATACATTTACTTCTCTTGCAAACTGAATGGGAGGCTGGCACATTCAGTCTGACGAGGTAAAAATTGGAAACATGATGAAGCTAGTGGCTTTGTTAGGATGTCTGTAACAATGCCTTTGGGTTACTTGTTTTATATAAGTGTTTCTGGATAGTTGTGTTACGATGTCCCTTGTTGGGACTTATTTGGTTATTTACACCACTCGAGGGTTTGGTTTATACGAGCACAGCAACCGGCAAAGCAGTGTGCTTGGATTTGAATATGGATTCATCTATCGACAAGAAAATGGAAATCCAACTTGGTTCTCTGTAAATTAATGGAAAATCTCTTCTTTTATTGCAGTAGTTTAGCAGTGAATAAATACAATACATTAGGTGCTAACTAAGGAAAGAAATTAAGATTGATTCCTATGAATCTGCAGTGATTCCTATAAATCTGCTACCTAAATATAGCTATGTATATTACTAGATTTAAGTCTATATACATTCTATAACACTCCCCCTCAAGCTGGAGCATATATATTGATCATGCCCAGCTTGTTACAAAGATAATCAACTCGAGTTCCATTCAATGCCTTAGTGAGTAAATCAGCTACTTGCTCTCCTGTCTTCACGTAGCCAGTGGAAATCAAGTTTTCCTGAATCTTCTCACGAATAAAATGACAATCAACCTCAATATGTTTAGTTCTTTCATGATACACCGGATTTGAGGCAATATGCAAGGCAGCTTGATTATCACACCAAAGTTTTGCTGGTGTATGATGTTCCAACCCAATTTCAGTTAGAAGATGATGTATCCACATAATCTCACACGTAGACTGTGACATAGCTCTATACTCAGATTCTACACTAGATCGAGATACAACACTTTGCTTCTTACTTCTCCATGAAACTAGGTTCCCTCCAACAAAGACACAATAGCCTGTAGTCGATCTCCTGTCAATTTTGGATCCGGCATAGTCAGCATCTGCAAAACACTCAACACGAGTATAACCATGATTGCTATACAATATCCCAAGTCCAGGGGCTCCTTTCAAGTAACATAAAATCTGCTCCAAAGCTGCCCAATGTTTGATTGTAGGCGAGGACATAAACTGGCTGACAACACTTACTGCAAAAGCAATGTCTGGACGAGTCACACTGAGGTAGTTTAACTTCCCAACTAACCTCCTATATCTCTCGGGATCATCAAAGAGGTCGCCGTCATCTTTCATAAGGTGCACATTGGGAACCATTGGAGTACTGCAAGGTTTAGCTGCTAACTTTCCAGTGTCTGCAAGAAGATCAAGAATATACTTTCTCTGAGACAACAAAATTCCCTTCTTGTTTCTATTCACCTCTATACCCAAAAAGTATTTCAACTGACCCAAGTCTTTCGTATGAAACCTAGTATGCAGGAAAGATTTGAGGGAAGAGATCCCCGCATAATCACTTCCTGTGATGACAATGTCATCGACATACACAACCAGTAAGATAGTGCCAACTGCTGATTGTCGGTAAAAGACTGAGTGATCACATTTGCTCATCTTCATCCCAAACTCCAGGACTACCTCGCTGAACTTCCCAAACCAAGCTCGCGGACTCTGTTTCAAGCCATACAAAGACTTTTTCAAATAACACACTCTCCCATACTCCCCCTGAGCAACAAAACCAGGTGGTTGCTCCATATATACTTCCTCTTGAAGATCACCATGAAGGAATGCATTTTTGATATCCAACTGATGTAAAGGCCAATTCTCAGAAGCAGCTAGAGATATGAAC